TAGTGCATAGCAATTTTTAGCAATCGTAACTTTTTATTTATAAAGATTTTCACATACTGTCTCCGAAGAAAATATAGCAGAAATGTTAAGAAAGCTTTTGAAAAAACTATGATCAATTATTTTCAATAGATTTTGAGATATCGATTCATTTTGAGTTCTAATAGCGCGACCACTGTCGAACACCAACTCAATTCCACTTATTTTTACCAAAAATGCAAGTGTTTCTAACTTACACTTAAAATTTTTCATGCTATAGGGAAAATTACAACGACTCGTTAATAAATAAACAAATAAAGTATCACGAGACGTAATTAAATCGTGAAGCTGAACGCATGATGTGCACCTTTGCTTGGAACTTTAAGTACTGACAGAGGTACTGATTGGGTCGACCGGTGGACTGCGACAAATCTGCTATATCCCCTTCCACGTCTCTTAGCAATATACGCAGTTTCTCGGTTTAGTTCGTACGTTTGGCAACGTGTTTACTGTTCTCTTTTTGTTCAGTACATTATAAACGCATTGTACTCTTCTTACATACGGAAATCTCGACCCAAGACTAACCTTTGCCAGCCCTTAGTATATCAATACACGTATCCCTAATTTGTAGCCCCCTGTATAGTATTTAACATCTAATATTAAAATTGTTATTGTTAAATTTGATATGCCGAATAATGTAGTAAATAAATATACCAAAAACGTCTAGGCATTCGAATAAAAATGCAAACGCAACAGTAGCAGTCAATTCAAAATATTTCGTGTCTGATCTCCATAATAATAGGGTTATCAAAGTTTCAACGTTTGCAAGAAAAGTCTTTCTTTTCGGTTCTAAAAATGATGTGCAGGTGAGATAACGAATGATTTGCGTGCTTTTCTTATTCTCTCTGGCACCAGAAGCTGGGAAAAATAAAACGAGGTTCGGGAAGGTCAGCACACGTAAACATATTTCGCACAGCAAGAGGCCTGCCTTTCTTTTCATTGCTTTTGTCGAATAAATTCGGCTTTGTCTCCGATATTTACGGTTTGCATGCAAAAAGGTGACTGTTCTTTCAAATCGTCGAATAATTTATGAAGCTAGAAGTGTTTTCGAGGATAAGCTTTCCTCGTTCGGTGTTGTACTGTGGCTGGATACGATAAGTTTTTGTTATGGAAATGAAACAAGTTATAAGAGTTTGTTTAAACATTGCTAGAAAATATTTGCTTAGGACTGGAAAATATAAGATTTGTTCTCTTTGTTTCGATCTATATGGAATAAAGAACTATACTGTATGAAGGATAAAAGATCAATTTAGCTCCGACAAGCATATTTTACCGGGTGTTGCATCGTCGGACGGGACGTAGGAAATCCCATGTAAATTTTAATGGGGTCAATTATTGGCTTTCCTAATTATTTTAGAGAATAATCCTATTTAGGTTTATTGAAGAGCACTAAAACCCACATTCAAAAGAATAACTTTAGATATTTTTGATTAGCTCGTTTACGAGTTATCGCCGATTTCTTTTTAAATATTTCTCCTTTCTTATGGCCCCGTATTTACTTATGAGCACCAGTCAAGGTAAAAGATAACTGTCAAATGAAGTTGTCATTTCATGAATTTACCTATTTAGTGCTTTACTATTATTGAAAACTCATTCCTACATCGGAAATCTTAAAGGTGTATTTATAAATACAAATTAATATGAATTAAAGTAAAATAAAGTAATCAATTACAAGGTTAATTTATTTACAAGGTTAGTTTATTATTACAATATTCAATAACTTATTAATTTAGGTACTATTAGATTGTTAGAACTTAAGGATTTAAGGAGATGTTCAAATATTCCTCCATCGACTGCTAGACAAAAACCAAGGCGATCATAAAATTCTCTTCTTACATTCGATAGTTGGTAAACTGAAATTCTATTGCATTCGGCAGAAATAGCATTTTTAACTCGTCTAGATTTGGGTATTTTTTATCCTTGTATATCCTGTTTTTTAAATGGCCCCAGAGAAAGAAAACATTTGGCGAAATGTCAGGAGACCTTGCTGGCCAATTTATTGTATGATTAAGGCCAATAACGTTTCCGTTAAAACTATTGTCTAAATATTCCCGAACAGCCAGGGTACTATGTACCGGGCAGTCATCCATTTGGTACCAAACTTCCTGGTTTTCCCTAGCGGCATCATGTAAAGCAGGTAAAATATAATTTTCGAGTAGTTCCAAATAATATTCTGCATTTAAATTTCACGTAAGAAATAATGGCCCGATAATATTGTGTCCGAATATCCCTGCCCAAACATTTTCTGTGGATATTGCGTCCTTGTTTCGACAAACCTGTGTTGGTTTTCTTTGTTCCAATATCGATAATTTTGAACATTGGGTTCATTATTTAAGGTAAACGTGCATTCGTCAGTAAAACATATGTTTTTTAAAAATTCCCTATCCGTGTTTGCTCTTTCCATCATATCAAAACAAAACGCCTGCCGCCGTATTTCGTCCCCATCTCGTAGCTCTTGGTGCTTTTAATATTTGAAGGAATAGTATTATGTCGTTTCAAGATTCGAAACGCTGTAGTGTGATCTATTCCTATTTCATCCTCAAGTTTCCTTGTGCTGATCTTTCCATCGTTCTCTTCCACGCACAATAAAACTTCCAAGTCGGTATCATTTCTTGCATCTTCTCTTTGTTCCTGCCTTGCTTCACATCTGCAGTTATTTGTTAGGGTACTTTTGGTCTCAAATCTCTGGATATTCCTTGCGATTGTAGATTTTCCAGGTATCGGTCTATTCGGATACAGAGCAGCAAACATGTCCGACACCTTTTGATAACTATTTCCTTAATAATACCATTTAATCATCAATACTTTTTCTTCGGTAGTGTAATTCATGGCTAATATTTTCGATGTAGGTATGAGTTTTTAATAATAATAATAATAAAGCACTAAATAGATAAATTTCTGAAATGACAACTTCATTTGACAGTTATCTTTTACCTTGACTGGTGCTCATAAGTAAATACAGAGCCATAAGAAAGGAGAAATATTTAAAAAGAAATCGGCGATAACTCGTAAACGGGCAAATCAAACATATCTAAAGTTATTCTTTTGAATGTGGGTTTTAGTGCTCTTCAATAAACCTAAATAGAATTATTCTCTAAAATAATTAGGGAAGCCAATAATTGACCCCATTAAAATTTACATGGGATTTCCTATGTCCCGTTCGACGATGCAACACCCGGTATAGAATAAAGAAATATACTGTATAAGGTATAAAAAATAAACTTATATGCATATTGTTCCTATCGTTGTTTGCTCAAATGGTTTCAATTTATATATGAGAAGTATTGTAAGATATTTTAATGTTGATATTCAACATTAATAATTCTTCATTAAATAAAAGCACTATTCATATTTATTTAATTATTAAAATGTAGTTTATCTATTATCGAAATTTAAAAATAAACGCACTTCTCATTAATACATTTTTGTAGTTTTTCGTATAGTGCTTTTAATTTATATTGATGAGTTGTTTCACAGCGACTGAGTTAAAAGGTTGGTTGGTTTGGTTTGGTTTGATTTATTCCTATAGCGTATTCTCTATATACATTACAAGTATATACGAATTTCCATGTACTTGGGATGTAATATCTATTAAACTAATTATTTTAAAATAAGGATCTCAAATACATATTGGGAAATTGAAGGGGGAAAGTTGGGTTCTGAAATATGTATCTCGAATATTTATAACATTGTTGTAATCCCTAGTAAGTTTGTAAGACCAAAGAGGATTTGCAAGGTATAGTAAAATTAGTTCTCACATTTTAAACGAAATCTAATTATTATTTTTATTTGATGGCATATTTTTGTTTAGATAAAAAATAATTTTTGATTAAGCCGGAAATACATTGACCCTGTGAACTATAGTTTTCCAATATAGACGTTTTATTTTTCTGGTCCACAGCATACGTATTTTGAACAGTTATTTTTAAACTAATTCATAATCTAATTTAATCGATTATTTTAAGTTGAATTACTAAAGGGAAAATAATTAATATAATAACAGCATAAATGTACAGGGTGTCCCATTTTCGTGGTGGTGTCCCATTTCCGGGGCGACCCATAAAAAAATGCGGTTTTCACTTCACTTTCCTAGCCTCCTGGTTTATAGCCCCCCAATATCTTAGTTATCTTATAACTTATTATCGAAAAGGTGAAAAAATAGGTCGAATCCCGTAGAGGAGAATTTTTTGAAGATATGAATCTGTCACAAATGTATAAACATTACTTAAAAATAAACCTAGTTTAAAAAGGGATTATCATTTTCTTTAATTTAATTTAACCAGATAACTTTGCTTTCCATCGTGTTCTTAATAAACTCCACTGAAAATAAACATGTGTAGTTTTTAGAAAACACCCTGTTAATCAGAGTTATTGATATATTTAATGCACTTGTTCAATAGTTCTACAAACAGAAACTAGTATGAATGTATGAAATAATGAGTAATCAAAAATTGACGTAGAATAAATTATTCGATTAGTTCGATTACTTCTTTTAAATCGGCCGCCTTTGTTAAAAAGTTAAATAAAGCATTAAAATGCATTATTTAATAAAAATAAAAGAAAATATACAGGGTACACTATTTAAAAAAACATAAGTTTGGGTCACATTTCACGAATGACAGCTAGCAAAAATCTAGTTACGACACTGAATCCTACGTGACAAACTCTATGGGACACTAAGTTATAAGATAACCGAGGTAGAAAGGTGTCCAAAAATGCAGCGTTTTCAATTTCGCCCTGAATTTCAGGAACTAAGGTGGCTAGGATAAATCTGTGTGTGGCATCTTTAGTTTCATAAATAAATTAGCACAGTGATGTGAAAACCGCATCCTTGTAGCTATATTCATAAAGGAGAAACCCTACAAAAATGGTACACTATGTGCAACCATAAATATATTAATTAAATTGTTTTATTTCAATGTTACTTTATTTTCTCGTTGTTTATATTAAAACTGATATTGCAGGCGACGGCAACATCTGGCAAATAACGACGCCGACAAATCCCCAGCAAATGCTGGAAACAAAGCAACAGATCGCCCAGGAGTGTAACGACTTAATGAACGGCGAGGCAATGACTTGTCAGGAACTGTTGGCCCTAGGGGCCATAAACGCCGCCTTGCCCACCGGCCAAATCGTGCTCGATTCCTTCTTCGATTCGCTGTCAAAGGGAATGAACAACCGACAGAAGAACAACGAAGAGTATAGTGTTGCACACGTTGTTGGCGAAGAGGTAGGTGGATAAAAGTGATTCATTGAGTTTCAAGTACTTGTATGCTCTTGGTTGATACTTTCATAATATTATAAGTAAAAAAATATTACAAAAAAATTTGTGATATAAATATATGTAAAATTTTTGCGCTCAAACCAATTTGAATATTGGTACTTTTAGATAACAAAAACTCCTTTTGAATTTCTTTTTTCTGTAACACTGAAAAAAGACATAATTTTCTCTTCAAATAAGTCTTATCTTAATAATTAATATTATTAAAAAATGGAAAGAAGTATTTTGTTGGACTCATTACTCCACAAAGGTTCCTTCTTTTAGTATTAATCTTAGCACCCTTTATATTTATTCTACGTATAACATTGAAGTATGTATAAAACATAATTTTTCTCCTGATTCTTTTGTACAAAATTGAGACTGAAAAATCTGAACAAACAGAAATTTTTCCTTTATACAGGGTGGTCCGAACTGTATTCCTGAAACTTCCGCAGCATATTCTGCAGATAAAAATAAGTAAAGAAGTTTGTATAAATGTATGTTCTAAAAGCTTAATTTCGAAGATACAGAGTGTAGAATTTTCATTTTTATTTCAATTTTTTCCAAATAATTTCTGAAGGAACGTCAATATTTGGATGAAAATTGGTGTTTATTCTTTAAAAAACATATTAAGTACTTGAGTTGTAACTGATTTTTATATTTTTAAATATTTTTACGTACATTCAATTGTGCTGGTATTCCTAGAAGATAACATCTATTTAACTAACTTTATTATTACTTTATTTTAATAGCATAATCTTATGTTTCACTTTATCTCTTTAGACCAAATCATAATTTTTAATTCGTAATTAACTAATATTGTATCAGTAAATTATTACAAATCCATTTATTTTTTTTTGCTTTATAAAAAAATACAAAAAAATCGTCCATAATATTTATGTATATGATACATATATTTTTATAATGTTGTATGATTAGTAGCTCCAATTCGTTTATGATATAGCAAGTATATTGCGTAAATTTGAATGCATAATATCAAAAAAATGTTGCATTAACAAACCATATAAACTTTTTTCCAGGACTTCAGCTGTTGTATCGATCTATGGCACTGCGAGTCGGAGTACAAAAACGAAACGCGTTCCAAATTTTACATCTGCTCGTGTATGATTATCAAGGGCATACTGGCAGGAATAAAAACGGTCAGGAGATACATCAAGAGACTTGTAGAGCACCAGATATTTCAGCATGGGATTCTTCTAGCGATCCTAATCAACACTCTCTCGATGGGTATCGAACATCACGAGCAATCCGAGTGGCTCACCCATTGCGTCGAAGTGACGAACGTGATATTTTCCGCGGTGTTCGCCGTAGAAATGATACTAAAAATTTTAGCAGATGGTCCATTTGAATATATTGCTAATGGATTTAATGTATTTGATGGTGTAATTGTGATCTTAAGGTATTTATTACATTTTTTTAACTTTTTCACTTTTATTGTAGATTTAATAATTATATTTACTTTAGTTCATCTTTAGCAGTATTTTTTTTTATTTTTTTATCTCATGTTTTTATCTTATGTCTCATGACTAGCATATAAGATAGAGAATAATGTTGTGAATATAAAATTTAAACATGAATTCATGTTGGATATTTCATGGAAATTTTGTAATATACTTTTGTTTCTCTATTTTCCTCTGTAATTAATGTGCAGTGATATGAAAAAAATCAGGAAAGTTCCAAAACCAAATAACTTTAAAATTAAATAACTGCAATGTACCGATCGGTAAATATCTGTTAAATAAAATAAATCAGAAGCAAGCTGAAAATATAAAGTTAAAACAAAAGCTCATTTTGTAATTTATATATTTAATAAAAAGGCTTTTACATATTTTATGATGAATTAAAAATTATGTACACTCCTAATGTATTTTGAAAAACAATATGGGTATAATAGCCTTTTTGTAGAGTTTTTCAAGTATTCTAAGATTTCTTTATATGAGGCGTCAAGTTGCAAAACCCACCTTATCCATGTTTTAAAAGAATTACCTAATGACAAATAAAAAAAAAAAAAAGTAAAAGTAAAGTGGGAACCTAAAATCTAGATAAACATCGTCCCAAACTGTAGGGAAAGTCGCCTATTCCTATATAAAATTCATTACAAATTAAGTTCCTGCAGCAAAATCCGTCTTATCCACATATATATTTGCTTTTTATTATCATCATTTGCTGTCCTCCATTCGCGAATTTCAAGTTCCAGAGCTTTACACCCTGGCTACTCGAGAACGGTTCTGAAAGGAGCTGTGCGCGATAGCCTAGTCCATATGGCGCGGAACAGTTCTGGAACTTTGAGAACGTGAGAATATCGCGTTCTTGAACAGTTCAGAGCTGCACAACTGCGTGAATGGAGGACAGTAAATGTTGCAAATCCCGCATTTTTTCATAGGCTTTATACACAAGTATAATATTACTACCGACGTCTTATCCAATTCAAATCCTTACCCAATTTAAAAAAAATAGCATATCAATTAAATCAAGTTAGGATGCAAATATATTGCTGCAAAACCCGTAATATGCATCATACTGCAACAAAACCCGCCTTAAGGTGCTCGCGCACTTAGCCGAAGCGTAGCGAACAGAAGCGCCGCGAGACGAAGAGTCATTTAGCTGATATCCGCGCACTGGGGCGAAGCGTGGCGTCTCGAACGACGCGACGCGAATTTTATTTATTTCATGATTTGAACGCAGTACGTTGTCTAGTGTAGATGAGCAGTTCGTCAGAAGAGGACCTTTTTGTACTAAGTTTAATTGCCACCATGGAAGAAGATAAAAACAAGAAAAAATGCTGGGTTCATAATATAAATCAAAAGAGAGACACCTACGGTAAATTTCATCATTTGTTTAATGATCTTAGACAAGATAAAAAGAAGTTTGCCCCAACTTTAGCACCTCTTCCTACCAAATAACGCAAAAACTGGGATATGAGACAAGAATCATCAAATATTTGAATCTTCTCGCTGTCTATCACCGCGCATTGATGCGAAGCGTCAAGAGAAACTACTCCTAGTTGGTCCGAAGAGAATTCGCGCGTCGACCGACACGCCTCTTCGCTTCGCGCCGCCGTCATGCGCGGGCTGCCATTACCTTAAATGTAAATTTATCGGGCGAAAAATCTACGATTTTCTTCGCGCCGCTTCCGTTCGCGATGCTTCGGGTGCGCGAGCACCTTTATTCCAATTATTTTTGTGTTTTTTCTCTTTAAAAATTAAATATTAATTTTTATTTCTAGAAAAAGACGATACAACACAATGATTCCACTCAATAGACACGTTTTATTTTGTAAAATATCGCTTCAAACATTTGCTAAAACAGTTTTAAATAATACTTCTGAACAACGTTTTTCGGATAAGGCGGGTTTTGCAACGTGACGTCACCAAGTCTTTATGGACTATTTAAAATTATTTGGGAAAAAATATAGCAAAGATAGTATAAATAGAGAATCAAAGTTAAAAAATGTATAAAAAATGTTACTATAATTATTGAATAACAGAAATATCTCAAAAATATATGAAACTGTATCCCATATATTTCTTTCCTGTTTTATATATGGATCTGAATCCATACACAGGATGAGTCTTAAATAAGTGCAAATATTTTCAAGACAGGTAGATACAATAAACATATTTCTTCTCTTTATTGTTTTTCAAATAGGTCCAAAATAACCGAGTTATCTTACTTTGGAAATAAAAAAAATCTGCTTAAAGTTTGAGAACCGCTAGATCTTTTCTGGGTTTGCTTTATTTTCAGTTTTATCTACTACCTATGTTGCCATATTATCAAGATATTATGTATTTTAACTAAAAATTAAAAAAAAAGCCAATTTTTTTATATTCCAAATTAAATTTGTTTATACTCTGATAAAATATTTGCGCTTATTTAAGACTCACCTTGTATATTTTATTTGCAGAAACTTACTACTTAATTATGTTGCTTTCTTTTTACGAGATTGTATATTTTATTGTTACTTGTTTCAAGAACAACATAAAAATACTTTTCGCGCCATTATTTTATAATAACTATTTAATTGTTTACTTCTTTTCAGTGCCATAGAATTATTTAAGAATTTTACAAAGGACGATGAAGAAGTGCACACAGATTCAGGTCTGTCCGTTCTTAGAACTTTTAGGCTCTTGAGAATATTGAAATTAGTTAGATTTATGCCGAATCTCAGAAGGCAACTCTTTGTTATGCTAAGAACAATGGACAATGTAGCCATTTTCTTCTCTTTGCTCATTCTTTTCATTTTCATATTTAGGTAAGTGTGCTTCAAGCTTTAACTTATACTTTAATTCATAAGCAAAATACCAAAACAAGAAACCGGACATTATTACAATTCTATTATATAATCAAAGTCAAATAAGTAAAAATAAGATCTTTAATTTTAATTATCAACTTGAAATAAAAGTTATATTACTGCGTAATTCAAGAGTTAATCCATTAAATGTCTGTTTTCGAGTAATAAAAAATATACATCCAAATTCAAAAAATATCAAAATTTTTAATGGGTAGGGGTGGCATTTGATTATTGTTTTAATTGTGTACATACGTTATTAGAAGATTTTGATTTAATTTTATTTAGTTTGATGTGTTAGACAACTCTATACTCTATTACATCACTCTTACTTCCTGATATACACTTTTCTTAATTTCAGTACTTAAAACTTCCTTGTACTACATCTGCACTTTCACACTCTTCTACCAAAAACAATATCTACACTTGTACATAGTCCTGTATACATTATTTTAAGCCACAGAACATGTATATATGTAAAGCTTAAATTGATGTAAAAATTTAAGGCGTCTAACATTCCAAATATCACTATATAGTTAAAAATATGTTTTTAGTATATCTAATTTCAAATCTTAAGTATCTGTGAAAAAAAACTAAAAAATGAAAGTTCATAGATATAACATATTCGCGACGGTCCGGTCATTGTTTTTACTGCATTTATATAGCTGCCGAGACACGACTAAAGATTATAAGGGTACTTAAGATTTATTATCATTGGTTTTACTATATTTATATAAATGCTGAGATACCACTAAAGATTATGAGGGTTAAAAGGTTTAAAATTTAGGGTTAAAAAGTTAAGATTTTTATAAACTGTAAGAAATTAATATAACTTGAAATAGTGTTGGGATGAATCAATTCAATTTATGTATCCTTATGCATAGATTTTTTTATTCAAGTTTATTTAACTTTTCTGATATTTCCAATTTTCATTTTAAACAAAATCGAGAACAAAATGTATATCATAGTTTAATATATTGTGAAGATTTCTTAAATACAATTATTTTAAAATTATACATAAATTAATGTGATTGCTGAAAATATTTTCTAAAATAATAATTTGGATTTTTTATTCTTAACTGAAAATATTTTTGTCTATTATCCCATTTTCGTTTTAACTGATGTTTTTTTTTTCGCTTAAAAGATAGAACTTTGCAATTTTCATAAACATGGGCCACATTTTTGTGGCCCAACAGTTGAGAGTAACCTTTCTTTTCTTACAGTTGACCTTTAGTGTTTAACAGCAAAATAAACAGCAAAATAAAACACTACTTCACCACAATACATAAAAACACTTTACTTTTACACTGGACGCGCGTTTTGTAAACCATGTTAGCCAGTTTTAGTTTTAATCATCCGCTGATAATGCTAACATGGTTACCGAAACGCGCGTCCAGTGTAAAAGTAAAGTGTTTTGGTATATTGTACTGAATCAGTGCATTTTGCTCCTTAGGTGCTGCAAACAAAATTGTCGTACATACTTTCCGCGCTACAGGGGGTGATATTGGAGATTTTACAATTTCAGATTTTCTGACTTTTTATTTTCTAGTTAGCAAAATTATGTAGGCTGTTTGATTTGGGCCTCCTTGATGAGATAAACGCAATTTGATTAATTTGCCTTAACACAAGTCTAATACCAAACCTTTAAAAAAATAATATCATTAACTGGCCATGAAATAACTGGTTACTGAACATTAAATAACTGATTACTGGTAAAGATTAAATTTTCATACGGTTAATATTTTGTTGTAGACCATAAAAAACAATACTACTTTTTATCTTTTAATTTGAGGAATAATTTAGTTGTAGAATTGCATTCTACACAATTATTTTTTAGTTCAGGTTTGGACAAATCGCAAAGATATATCTTAATTAATAAGCGAAAAAGAAACATAACTCCAACAAAAAAGGGACCCTGTACATAAACAGAGATTTCAAACACGTTAATCTGGATACTATCTCGAATAATCCCATCACTTAAACATCAATTTAACCCTACGCTCGGCTCGAGCAAAAAACTAAATGATTTTTGGGATGTTTTTAGTATTCTCGGTATGAATATTTTTGGGTGCAAGTTTTGTAAAGACGAACCTAAATATAATTCAACTACCGAACTGTGCAAATCGAATTCCGACGAGGACAAAGATCGAAAAAACTTTGATTCCCTCCTCTGGTCGCTCGTGACCGTATTTCAGGTATTTAACTATTATTCATCCAACTAAAAATGAAAGAAAACTGTATTTAGTACTTTTTTAACAATCCAATAATAGGTGCACCTTAGATAATCCACAATCAATCGCTAAATACAGTTTTTATTTTGATTTTTTCCGTCACTAACATTTTTCGTTCAACTAATTTTAAGTGAAAAGGTCTAGAATTTAAATATACCGCGCGAATAACGACGACAAGGTAGGTGGTATAATTAGTTTTAAAGTTGGTGTTGCACGTGTGTTTTGTTTATGCATTACAGCTTATGTTGTAGCTAGGTGTTTACTATTTACGATTATTTAAAAGCTTTTAGTATTAATCGATTAGCGTCACGATCTATTTCATCACTTTAATTTGTAATACAAAATTTATTTTAATGGACCTGTTAACCCTTTTAAATACACTCACCGGCACGAAAAACGGGCTTAAAATTTTGATGTGTTTTAAAGTTTTATATATTGTGTCCTAGTGGATCAATTTTTATGATTTTTTAAGAAATTTGTACATAAATTATTTGACTTTTTAGTACCTCTTTCTAAATTAAAGATAAAAGTTGCCATTTATAAATTATACGAGGGAAAAAATGTTGATATTTTGGTGAAAGTTTGAAATACCCTGTGGAGTACGTTAAAAAAGCAAAAAGTTTAAAAAATAATTTATCATCAACAATGTATCAACGACAGATGGCTTCATAACCATCGCTGACGCCGTTTTTTCTTCGATCATATTGCATAACCTAATTATTAGGCTTTCTCTCAGACACAATTATTTTTATTGTAATTTGTATACTAAACATTCAATTACAATAATGGGTTATACATTTTCATATGTAATTTCACAGTTATTGATTCTAATGTTCTCAATTGAAGTATTCTTTTAGGTTACTCGATTTTTGTATATAAAAATTATTCATGAGCATGAAATCTCATAGAAACACACTGCTTTTATTCCTAAATTCTTCACATTCTATAGCGTATGTAGTATTTTGTGATGCTTATTTGTGATTTGTATCAACATGTCACCCCTGCAGATGTGTATGGTTAACAGCATAATCTCGAATTTTTTAACACTCTAATTTTTTAGATATTTTTATACGAATAGACGATAAAATATCATTGAGTTTAGGTAGTAGAGCCACGATTCTTCTATTACTTGAACCAAGTAATTACTAGTCTAAATGTAGTGACGTAAATGTAGATTATATCTAACAATTTAATTTTTAGTTTTACTAAAAGTGGAGTGCCTACACTACCATACTAATAAACATGTATAAACAATGAGTCTATTCGCCAGACACGTTATAGACTAATTAAATAATTATTGCACATTTGTTATTATTTAATAAAAATATATCGGGCAGTAGCGATAAAACTTAGCTATTCTTTTAATCAATAGTGTAATAATAAAGTAAGATCTTGTAATTTTCATCCTCTGTATTCAGTTTTTATTAGGGGGTTTAACATTAGTACAGAATGATTTCAGATGAATTGTAATACATACATGAAAGTCTACCAACAGTTCCTGCTTTTTAACAAATTTGTTTCAATGTTAAGTAGTTACATGAAATTTAATGTAAATTATTTCTTCTTTTTGTTGTAATAGGACATGGTCCTGTCAGTTCTGTCAACTGTCTTCTTGTGACGTTGATGTCCAGCTCTCTTACTAAGCAACCTACCAAGTGGACGTCTTGTTACTGATTTTTGTGTTTTGGCCAACTTGTCATCTGATCTTTACCCATCCTTTCTACATGGTTTCTTAAACAGCAGCGTCTTGCTCTTATCCATCTGACATCTACTAACTAAGCTCTTACCCATGACCCATCTACTAACAGGGCATTGTAAGCTAAATAGGCATATAAAGCTAATGGGATTGACTGACAAAGCTATATGTAGGTTCTGCCAATCTGAAGAAGAAACGACAGAACACATTTTTATGCCAATACGACAACCTGGCAAATGTGCGATTCTCGGTTATAGGCAATAATAGGCCTTTACCAGGGAGCTACATGGAGGGTTCAGTCTCCAAGTTGCTAAACTTTGTGAAAAGGATAGGACTGGAGAATGTAACCTAAAAATCAGAAGAGGACTACAATAGATCTGAGAAGGTCGCAGTGGATCAGGCCATGAGCCACCTCTAGAAATCAAATCTAATATACCCATCTGACAACGTTCTGTATTCCCAATTCTCTTAGTAGTCTGCATTGCGTACTCTCTCGTGCTATGTGGTCCCTTTGATTGCTCGTAATATTTTCATCTCTGTTTTTCTCACTTTTCTTTTTGTCTCTGACGTTTCTGCTCTTGCTTCAGCAGTGTAAGTCATTATGGGTCTTATACACGTCTAATAAATTCGCGTCTTACTCTCTCTCTCTGCTCATATATTTATTTCTCCATATTATGACACGTAAATGCTGCGATATTCTTGAGGCTTTTTTAATCTGATTGTCCACTTTAGTAGTTATACTTTTGCTGTGCTCGATGTTTCTACTCCTAAATAATTGAAAATGAGAAACTCTGACATACGTGTCAACATGTGTGTAACTATATGGGATTTTATTTGAAAAAGTGGTCACATAAATGGGAAGAAATAAGGGGAGGAATAATTCACCAAATGACCACAGTGGCGGTAATGACGCATAAATCTAAAAAATGAAAAGTAACCTTAGATAAGAGAATAAAAGAATTTTTTGAAACCGCGCCTCCACATCAAATATTTATCTCTTTTGAATCATTTCCTGTTCTAAAAATTTTCGGCGCATATTTTAAATTTTAAGTTTTTGCTACAGCAGCGCCATCTTAAGTCTTCCCTTTTTTATTACCATTTTTAATGCACGAATATATTTCTCCTTACCTCTACACTCTATACTTGTAACAATCAAGTGGCGTTTATTAGATTGCATAAAGACTCTAGCCAATTAAGCTTTACAAGAGTAATTGTAGGATGACATGGACTAGACCATCAACGCACATAATCCATCAATAGGAATAACTAGGAAAGAAAGCAGAGCTGATCGTCCTCTTTGAATGGTGACAACGAAATTAACTGTCATTTTAGAAATTAAAATCTGATTGACGATAGTTAGTTCTTGTCAATATTGTATATGTTTAAGATAATTAAGAACATGTATTATAGCTGTAGATTGTTTTTACAGATGTTAGTTTTCCATCTACGATATCAATCGTACCAATGTTTATGACAATAATGGTTATCGTCTCGGTGCACTCAGTGATGTGGTATTTCTCCTTTTCCTCACAGAATCTGCATTCGCCGTTGTTTCTTAGCTTCAATCTACTGAGGTGTTCATTGAGGAGAGGTGTCCTGTTAAAAACTCCGTCACAATCCAAATATTGTTCTTACTTAAATGAAGGAAAATCTTTGATATTTCTCGGTCGTAAGTTCTAAATATACATAGACCAGGTACACTTGAATAGTACAAGTAGACTGGCTGCCAACTTACTTGAATATTCCAAAACCATCCAACTTTACTTGGATAAAACAGTTGATAGATAGAAACAGCGTATTTGGTCCTAGTATACTTGGACCGTGTCAACCCAATTCTAATCTTAAACTTATTCTACTTCCTATTGTTTTTATCACAAATAATTTAGCTTGTTCTGTATAAATATATAGTATCTATACTAATAGATATAAAGTTTCAATACCAACAATTACAATTTGTAATTTAACCAAACCAAATCATATAGACTTGTTTTTAAATAGTTCTTATCGCTACTGCCTTAGACTAAACCCAAACGACTTAAAATAGACCGCTCTAACCAAACCCCGTGCATTTTCCTAGCATCCTGGGTATGTACCTCTTTGGCGGTAAGTTTTGCAATTATGTAGACGAGAAAGGCGTGACCAGGGATTGCGGCTGCGAGATGCTCGAAAAGAAAGACGAGAGATGTCAGTGCGATCGCAAACACTTTAACAACATCCTCTGGGCAACTGTAACCGTTTTTCAAGTGAGACCAATTTTTTACTGTTCCTAGTCCATTGAACATTATTTTTCGATTTTGTCTATTAATTTTACAATAATGTAAAAAAATCACTTTGAACATACATTTTTTAAACTGCTCATTTTTTTAATATTCATAAACATATTATGTTCAATGTGGTTATTTTACAGTGTTTTTATAACATTTTAACAAGTATTAATTTCAACAAAATAATAAGTGTATTATCATGAAAATAAACGCTGATGGTGCTTTTAAACAAAGATTAGCAAAATCAAAAAATATAAAAATAGGAAATATATCGATATTTTAAAATTTAATATTGTAATATTAAATTGAAGCATAATATTACTACTAGTGCTTAATTCTATCTACGTTTAAATTCAGTTTTATGTCTAACTAAGATTTATGAGGATTATTTGAATCTAGGCAATTTTATATTATTTTTAATATTATCGCAAAATACGAAAAATTCTAATTAACATTAATCACCAATTATTTTTTTTTTTGTATTTTCACTAAAAATGGTTTGAAATTATCCATATTGTATACTACAGGGTGAGTCCTGAATAAGTGTAAATATTTACAGGGCTGGTAGATCTCGGTAAAAGAAACATATTTACTCTTTACCTTTTTTAAATAAGTCCAAGTTTGAAAATCAAAAAAAAAAAAGATTTATTTAAAAAAAAGAGAGCCACCGGATTTTTTCTATATTTACATCCCTTTTAGTAAGCATGGTAATATCAGAGATTAGAAAATTATACCGTCGAAAAATTTGAATTGAACAGGCAATGCTAGAAAGTTTTCTATAATTATACAGGAAAATATAAAAGAAAATGTACGATTTTGAACATCTTTTTTGCGAAAAAAATCTCATAGTCGTGTTTCTAGGGTCGAAATATACCATCCCTAAAAATATTTGCACTTATTCAAGTCTCACCCTGTATAATACACTAGATACCATTACACTCCATTTTCGTGGCTCAATTAATGTACGTAGGTAAACGATGACAATTTTATTTAATGTTTATAATATAAACTTTTATAAAATATACTCTGTGGTACAACTATCAATTCAAAGATGATAAGGATCGAATGAGTCGAAAAAGGAGTCGAAATATATAAGACGTCATGTAACTTTTGACAACCTTAAGTCTAAATTAGATAAAATAATAGATATACATTATGTAAATCGCATTCAAGAGTAAAAAGTTTACAGATTTGTCAGTATGTACTATTACTAAAATTACAGTAACTAAAATTAAAAAAATATTGCAATAAAGATCCAAGAAAAGAAAATAAAAACTAAAAAAACAAGAAACAGCACACCAAATATCTGATGCAGCCGATATATTAAAAACAAATAACTGTTAAGCATAATAAATAATTTTGCTAATCTTTGTATACATACCAACCAACATAATGTATATAAATCATACCCAAATATTTTAGATATTAACACAGGAAGACTGGAACATGGTGCTCTCAAACGGAATGGCGAGAACGACGCATTGGGCGGCTCTCTACTTCGTCGCTCTCATGACATTTGGCAACTACGTTCTCTTTAATCTGCTGGTAGCTATTTTGGTTGAAGGTTTCAGTTCGGAAAGAAACGAAAGGAGGGAACGGGAACAGAGGGAATTGGCAAGAAGAAAAATGTCCTGTATACTAGAAGCAAGCTTGAGAGAGAGTAATGAGACTAGTAGCAGATCGGAGAGTTCTTCTTCTGATAGTTACTCACAGGTATAAATCATGAAATAATATGTACAGTCTGACAAACGAATATGAAACAACGGGACAACAGTAAGGCGAGGCGGACGCAGCTTTCTAAAAATATGGCCAATTTTATTCATTATACAGAGTGGTCCGAACTGTATTCCGCACACTGGCAGCATATTCTGCAGATAAAAATAAGTAAAAAAATTCGTAGAAATGTATGTTCTAAAATGCTTTGTTTCTGAGATACAGGGTGTAGAAGTTTCATTTTTATTTCGATTTTTTCCAAATAATTTCTGAAATAACGTCAATATTTGGATGATAATTGATGTCTGGGAGTTTTTGTGGCATGAGACATTTGATTTTGATGTCAATATGACTACTATTTGTAGGGGGCGCCACCTACATGTGTTTAAACTGTTTTGATGAGTATTAACTTTTCGTCCATACCTGTATAAAACTACTAGGTAAAAAAATATATATTTGCAACGTTTTTTGCGTAAAAAAGGCCTCTTATTAAAAATCGCTACGAGTATTGGTTCTCGAAATCTTTGGAATCGAAATTATCAATACCTGTCGTCATTGGCATAAATTAAACATGTTGACTAAATAGTTATTAGACTGAAATCATAAATTTGAAATGTTTTTGTGCCAAAAGTTCAACAGAAACTGTTTTATCATCATTTTTTCGAAGAAAATTTTATGATTAATTTAAAAAAATAAAAATTTCTCAAATTTATTATTTCAGTCAAATAACTATCTACTCAGCGTGTTCATTTTTTGTCAATAATGACATGTATTGACTATTTCTATTATAAACAACTTGACTACTAACTACGTTCCTCGTAGCAATATTTTTGAGAGACAAAAGTCACGGAACTGTATATTTTTTACTCAGTAGTTTTATACAGGTACGGTCGAAAAGTTATTATTCTTCAAAACAGTTAAAACACATGTAGGTGGTGCCACCTACAAATAGGAGTCATATTGACATTAAAATCAAATTTCTCATGTCAAGAAACTTCCAGACACCAATAAAATTTTCATTTAAATATTGACGTTACTTAAGAAATTGCATGGAAAAAAATAGAAATAAAAATGAAACTTCTACACCCTGTATCTCCGACTAAGCATTTTAAGACTCACATTTATACAAACTTTTTTTACTTATTTTTATCTGCAGAATATGCTGCCGAAGTTTCCAGGATACAGTTCGAACCACCTTGTATATTTATGAAAATATATCAGGAATCTCTATAATATTTTCCAAATGTATCTGCATTTTGTTTAGTGATTTGCTCAATATAATAATATTTGTTAGAAAGCGTGTACAAATTATAATATGCACAAGACAAGTTAAAGGTACAAAATATAATACAAAAACAGCGCCATTGGATATTTGAATACATAATTGACATAAAAATGTGGTAGTACTGATCAATAGGAAAACGTTATGCGCATGGCTACCGTCTGGTAATAAAATTTGCAAGTATCTGCATCAATCAGATCATTTGAATCTGGGATGACACGATGAATTTTCACAGCGTTGCCACCTTGTGCGAAGCTGATATCTTTAGAGAATAACTTTTTATAATAGACAAATTAAAGGAAATAATTTAAATAAATATACATCTACCATCAAGAACTACGTTAAAATAATTAGTATACTATACAGGGTGCTACAAATTCGAGGTACGAGCATTGGTATCTCGGAAACCGTAATAGATACGAAGATGGTTAAATTGGGGCAAAGTTGCGCCTTGGAATGTTCACCAAGATGCTATCAAAAAAGTTTTTAAAATTTCAAGGATTGCTGAGTTTTTCAGAAAAAACTAATTTTTTTGAAAATCAATTTTATTTTTTCCTGTCGTTACTGTTTAGAAAATCAAAAAACTAATTGCATATTCTCATAGCCACTTTATTAGGGCTATCTGACAGTATTTTTAGATTTTCAAATTAGCTGATAATTTGTGAGATACAGAGGCCGACTTCGTTTTTTTTTAAATACGGACCTGCATTTTTTATTTCAGTTTTTGAAAGAACTCGGTCTCCTGAGTACAACTATATGCCACACTTTATACTTTATACTAGGTTAGATGCTTATTTAATAAGATAGTTGTAATGTAAATGTTGATATTTTTAACAGAGTAAGAAAAACTTTTGGAAGTCTGCCGACGAGATAAGAAAAATAAAAGACTTGAATGACCAGAGGACGTTGGTTGCCCTTACTAACTGCGATTTCAAAGATAAAACCAATGCAAGGGAGGGTTGCTACATAAGAGAACCCAAGTGTAACATACAAAAAGAATCATTACTGAAACAACCTATAAGACAAGTGAGTAGAAGCCCTTACAATTTTTTGTTGGTTTTCTATTGCTTTTATTTAATATTACTCATCTCTAATCAAAGCTAAGTGTAACCCCATAACGTTTAATTCACTAAAACATTTTTTCTCTACAATTGATAATAAAAAATAGACTAATAAACATGTTACAAAAACAGGAAAAAGCAAATATTAATTAACAAAACTTTCGCAAAAAAGTATCAAATTTTATCAACAAGCTCAAATGGAATATAGGAGCTAATTTTACGAACCTAAATCATTTATTAATTAGGAATTAATGCGTGGAATGAAAAGTGAACATCGAGTTTGTTGTTTTCCATAATAAATGAGGCCCTTTAGCGCCTGCACTGCTGAATAATTTATTCAATACATTTGCCCAGCTAATAATACGGAATCCGTATTTCTTACGGTCGGGTTTCATTCAGTGCTCAGTCAATTTGTTTATTAAAGAGTTTTTATTAGGAAGTGGGAAAATCTAAATTAAAAATTCATTGAGTTAATCTTTTATAAAACAAATAATATACTATAAAATATGGAACTAATGGCACAAATCATTAATGAACGCAACATCGCAACTTGTTGTCGATAACACAAGGTACATTAAAGCAAATGTAAAAAACTTAAAAACAAATCTTATTAAGAATAAAGGGTATTTCGTCAAATTTAAAGTTTTATATTTTTTTATTATTAGCCCAACTTTAAATCAACGTAAATTCAGTTTTTTTTATATAAACATTAACATTGAGCTTTATTATGCAGAGTTTATCGAATGGATGTTACAAATAATAAAAATATCATACAATTAAAAAAAAAACGTCATTAAAATTACAAAAAGAACATACATGGACATTGCAGAACACAAAAAAAGACATATCAATAAAATTTTACAATAGGAAAATTGTAAATGGACATAATCATTTTAAGAGTTATAAAATATTAAATACTAGACTTTTAACCAGTGTGTGAGATGATCAAAATTTTAAAATTCAAAATTGTTCAAGATTAAACATCAATAAAAAAAGTCGTTTACCGCATATAGGGCTCTCTTCAGTATGTATGATTTCAAAGCTTTGCGAAATGCGGGAAAGAATGAAAGCGACTTGATACCCAAAGGCAGATGATTGTACATTTTTTGGCATTGCAGCCTTAAACTAGTTCTGAGCTCGGGGTTGACAGATACAGATCGTGCTCCGCATTTCTAAGTGGATAGTTGTGATGTGGCCTTTCGGGAATAGCAGATATGTGCTTGCGGATTAAGTCAGTATTTTGAAATTTTTAAACAAAATTCTGGCAGTGAGTTCTACTGTTCAGTCACAATATATATCGAACTGCTCTCTTGTGAAGTTTGAAAAACCTAAATTTTATCGCGCAGCAAGTACCATAGGAATGGGAGAGCATAACGAAATGCGACTCTCTGTAGTTTTCGGTCAGAACCATGTCTGGATTAATTTTTAAGAGCTGTATGAACTTGCCACCAACAATTTTCCATTTTTTCAACTATCACTACTTTATGATGTTATTTTTGAATATCTTTGGTGACTATTGGCATAATATCATATTACGCTGCATTGGATGCACTATTCTAAATTATAAAAACGTTAAAAGTAACAATACAGGCCTGGTTTTAATAAACATTAATAACGATATCACAAATAAAGTTAATATCTTTAGTTAGTAGTCTGCAATAATCAAGAATACAACAATACCTTGGTTGCTCTAACTTGATCAACCAAAGCTTGAGATTTGTTCATATTGCAATGAGGCTACATATATCATATTGCGTTAAGTTTTCCCATTCTTCTTTAAGGACCAACCGAAGTTCATTTAACGAAGCTAGTGCCGTTCGCTAGATTAAGATCTGTCAAACATGCTGGGCAGGGTATAGCAGTATAGTATATAGTCCAATAATGACCAAAACTACCTCCTCATATTGAAAAATATCATAAAAAAGAAATGATAATTAAAAAAATTGAAAATTGTTGGTGGCAAGTTAATTTTGCTCTTAAAAATTAATCAAGGCATGTATTAACATGATCCAAAAAACAAAATACGCAGGAGACATGGTTGTAGTTGTTGAAAAATACTATTTTAGTAAAATTGGCTTGCAAAATTATTGCACAGAGTGTTTTAAAGTTAGTGTAAAGACAACCCTTCGATTAACCCTGTAAACTGAGTTTTTAAATAAATTAGAGCTAAAAATAAAAAACACAGATACACAAAATCAAATTAGAATTTTTTCAAGCACTCGTGCTACTTGAAAGAGGTCTTAAGTATTACTGGACGCCTTGTTGTGGTCTTACTAAATAGACCACCAGGTGTTTTGCTAATTATAAACTAGATATTTAAGAAGTACGATTTGGGAGCCGGTAGAGTAGTAGTACTTTCTCATATAAAATGCTATCAATCTTCATTGCGATCTAAAGACATTGGACATTATCAATGACAAGAGATTCAGCGATTTAATACAATACATATCTCTAAAGTATAATTAAACTGAATTCGAATAAAATGTCACAATCCTTTATTTCACAACTAAACTAACTTTAATGTAAGCTTTGTGTAAACGATGTTCGAACTTATCCTACTTTTACTTTATTTTCTAATAACACTTATTAATGTTTTCCAATTTAGTCGTCACCCCCTATTATAACGCACACTGCCGCCACACCCCAAGACTCCCCCAGCAACACCCTTGACGCTGACTTCCCCGAATTCCTATATAACGTCACCAGTGTGGTCAGTGACGTCGATGGCGAAAACTCCCTATGTCCATCTACTACAGAATCAACCACCCAAAAAAGTTCTGTGAGTGTCCCAATAGTCTAAATAAATAATGTAATAATAATATGTGTTCACTAGTCACTCGATAGTATGAGCAGTTTAATGAACACACTAATTGTTGGTTTGATGTTTTATTTAAGAAATTTAAGTTCTTGAACATAATAAGTTCTTTTGATATTATTTATTAAAACTTTAAATCAACTTATAATGTTGCCAATGTCAAATTATATTTCCTAAATTTTAGGCTTTTAACTAATATGAACAAATTTTAAATTACATAAAATACATATCAGGCGCACTTACTGTAGGTACTGTAACATAGTAGCGTAGACAGCACAACAAGGTTTGGCAACTTAAAGTATATTGACTTTTACCCGGATTTGTTTTTCTTTAATTGGCTTGTACAAAATTGTTCAAATTTGACGTGTATTCAGCATACGCAGACCTTTACTATACCTATTTACGACTTCGCTATAAAATATACAGGGGAGCCAATATTTGGACAGTTAAAAATTTGCATGGGTTTCCTGTTTCCAACGCTGATGCACCACCTGGTATATAATTTAACTCCACAGATGTGATTTGATCAAGCTATAGGCTTGGTGCATTTCAGTTGATTTCAACAAATTCCGACCGCAGCGCTTCAACGGCAGAAATCAGAAATTATCAGTATGTAATTCAAGCCGCCGCGCCGCGCCGGCCGGTGCCGTCATGTTGATCGCATTATAGGCCAGTAAACGTAGCCGAGTATGTATCATATGTAAAGGTGGAAAAAATTAGTAACCAACCAAGCTCAACGGGAATGTGTAGATAATGATCTCCTATTTAACCCCTCAAAAGTCCCATTCGGTCCCAGTGGGGGAAGTTTGAAAAAAACCGCCGCCATCTTGGTTTTTTTCGTTTTTTTTAAATATCTCCGTTAGCATAACTTTTTTCGAAAAGCTAAAGATATGTTTTTTGGAGAGAATTAAATTTAGAATATTTTTCCTTTAACAATTTTTTTTCTAAAATAATTATTAATAGAGATAGAGCAATTTTTTACTATGCGTTTTTTAAATTTTCCAGTTTTTTAAACCAATCAGCTATAATTTTTGGCATTAACAGTATAGTGTTAATATAACTGCAACCAAGTATAAATTTAAACATTAAAACAATTAAAAATAACGTTCAAATATTATTTATTAAATAAAATTATTGTTAAAAAAAAATATTATGAAATTATAGTTATTAAATAAAATCTGCTATGACGTCATCCTGATCGTCATTTTCGTCTTCAACTAAAATACAGAAGTTTGTACAACTGATTCCGTAGCACTAACCACACTTTGAAGAACATTTAAGACCCAGTTTTCTACAAGAGCAATTTTTAGAGCACTGACTCTCTTTGCAATTGCAAAAAATTAATTTTAGTATGTCAGGAAGCGAAACATCTTCGAAACATCTTCTGTTGATTTAATAGGTGTCAGATTACCTTTTTGATCTTTCTTCCATCCATATTGTAAAGGATCTAACTTGTTACCAAACCATTCATGAATCTAAAATATACAAGTTGTAACATTTTCTATAATAGATATATCTTTACAGTTACCTGAAAGTATGTCCTGAGTAAATGGAGTTTTGCAGAGTTCTCAGTTGGAGACAAATTAGCTAAATTAACGGTAGTCTTAAGGGCCTGTCTTGATGTAATCCTATTGTATAGAGTGTATCTCAGATGGTTAATATGTTTGGTATAGATCTTGGGTAGTGATATAGCTTTAAAAGATAATTTAATCCTGACTGAAACAAGTCATCTTTGTTACCATTTTTTTCTAAAAATATTTTGAGGTATAGACAAAGATTGTTATTTTTTTTTCAGTACTGACATTTTTTATTTTTAAAATAAAAAAAAAATATGTGTTTTTTTGAAAGTCCCATTTTGTCTTGTACCTCAGATATTTTATCACCTTTTCCTGCTTTTCCCGGATGAAGCATGAATATATTTTTATGTTTTGAATGGTATATAAGTAAAACCATAATATCGGTATTCTCTGAGACAACTGTTATATGTTTTTTTTGACATAGATAATTCCGCAGCTGTTGAGGTGATAAGAAAATTTGAAGATTTTTTTCAAAAAGCACTAAAAAGTCGATTCTAAAAATATCCAAAATATCTGAGGTACAAGACAAAATGGGACACTGTGATACTACCTCCTTTTTATTTAAAAAATTAAAAAAAAAATGTGCCTGACGATACTAAAAAATACTAACAAAGGTGACTTGTTTCAGTCAGAATTAAATTATTTTTTAAAGCTATATCACTGCCCAAGCTGCAAAACTCCATTTACTCAGGACATACTTTCAGGTAACTGTAAAGATATATCTATTATAGGAAATGTTATAAGTTGTATTTTTTAGATACAGGAATGGATTGGTAATCAGTTATATCCATTACAATATGAATGGAAATCAAAAAGGCAATCTGACACCTATTCAATCAATAGAATATGTGGCGCCTCCTGACCTACTAAAATTATTTTTTTGCAATTGCAAAGAGAGTCAGTGCTCTAAAAATTGCTCTTGTAGAAAACTGGGTCTTAAATGTTCTTCAAAGTGTGGTCAGTGCTACGGAATTAGTTACACAAACGTTTGTATTTTAGTTGAGGACGAAAATGACGCTCAGGATGACGTCAGAGCAGATTTTATTTAATAACTTTAATTTAATAATATTTTTTTAACAATAATTTCATTTAATAAATAATATCTAAACGTTATTTTTAATTGTTTTTATGCTTAAAATTATACTTGTGTGGTTTATCTATATTATGACTATACTGTTAACGCAAAAATTATATCTGATTGGTTTAAGAAAACTGGAAAATTTATAAAACGGTATAGTAAAAAATTGCTCTATCTCTATTATTATTTATTTTAGAAAAAAAAATATTGAAGGTAAAATGTTCCAAATTTAATTATCTACAAAAAGCCTATCTTTAGTTTTTTGGAAAAAAGTTACGCAAACGAAGATATTTCAAAAAAACGAAAAAATCCAAGATGGCGGCGTTTTTTTTTCAAACTTCCCCCACTGGGACCGAATGGGACTTTTGAGGGGTTAAATAGGAGATCATTATCTACACATTCCCGTTGAGATTGGTTGGTTACTAATTTTTTCCACCTCAACCTCCAGATTGACTGGCCTATTAATATAATATTGAAATCGTAGTTTTGTCATAATATTTAATTATTTTAGTTTTTTTCTAGTGCAGTTATTGAGACTATAAAACACTCAGGTACGAGGTTTGTGTTATATAATGCTCTGTCGGGTAGTAAAAAATAAGTGAAAAAGAATTCGAACTAGGCGTCGCCGTCGCGTCCTGTTGTGTTGTAACAATTTCAAATGTTAATAAAATTGCCGAAAAAATGTTAACGCGTAAAGGAGAGCGTAATTAGGGCGTTGTTGGGTGCAGTAACATTCAATAACTCAACTTTCCCGGATATTCAACTCTCCCGAAACAACATTTTGCAGCTTCGTAGTTTCTCACACCGATTTTATCAAATGCAAAAATGGATTCAAGCAGTTCGACGAAACAAGTGAGTAAAGAAAGTGCTCGTTACATAATTAAAAAATTAAATAGACATATGTATACTATAAGAGGATACAATATAATTTGCAATATTAACGGTATAGTTAGCGGTTTTTAATTAACTACTGATTAAATGTTTTATGAACATTTAAAATTATAGTATGTACCTTTAAAAAAGTTCGTTATATCCGAAATAATAAATTATAATAGAAGTTAGACCTTCTGAAGATATCAAAATATTAACTTTTTTATTTTTAGAATTTTCACAAATTATACTTCCTAACACTTTTAGATTTTTTAAATAATACATTTTTCGTATGCTCGCTACTTAAACCCGTGTATTTGTATACTAGTTGTTTAAGATATTCTCCAATGGTGGCAGCACTGGCGGAGAGTGCACCAAGCCTATACAGTACAATAAATATTATCATGCCATAAGATTTCTTTTCTTCATGCTATCGAGTGTCTACTTTTATGTGAGCTCATCATAAGGTATCATTGTAGGGTCTAACTTTATTGTATCCTTTTCAGAGTCTAACTTTATTGAAACCGCCAACATTAACGCCGCCCCCAATAACGTTTCGTAATTTCGAGAAACTTCCAGAAGGTCCACTGCATACACCATCTGGGAAGATAGTTATTCACAACGAAAGGGTCGGTATGAAGACTATGTCGTTTTCCGAAAAAGTCGTTCAGCTAAAAAACAGCAACAAGAACGAAATGAAACAACATCCGGATAAAGAAAAACTACAAAGGAAGATGTCCTGGAATCTTCCAAAGTAGAGAACCAACACGTTGATGGTATATAATAATAATTTATAAATAATAATCTGTTGTAGGAGGCCAAGTTTAAGAAGAAAAAGAGACAAATCAGGGTCAGATTCTGAAGCAGTTCCCCTGAATAATGGTAGAGATCATTCCCAATGTAACGGTCGTGGAGTTACTAGACATGTAAGCTGAATATTTAATAGTTAGATTTTACTCTCTTACTTTCTTAGCCAATTTTAATGTTAGTTTTTATAAAAGCGTTTTAAATGGTGATGTAATATTATTATCACAAGAACAGATACATATGTGTGGGAAAGACTTTTTTGTAGTAACTTCTACTTCCCGGAGATACCTTATTTTACGCAACCCACACTCTTTTTTTATAAAAAAAGAAGAGATGCTAACTATTGCAGTGCAGTATTAACAGTGCTAACTATTGCAGTGCAGGGACATACCCTAGTATGTATGTCAAGTAAAAGTAGAAAATAAGTGGTACTTAAAAAATTCTTTGTTTCGAAGATACAGGGTGTAAGTTTCATTTTTATTTCGATGTTTTCGATATAATTTCTGAGTCAATGCCGATATGTGGATAAAAACTAGTGTCTGGGTGTTTTTTAGCATGAGAAATTCGATTTCGATACCAGTATGACTCTTACTGGTAGAGGGCGCCACCTACATCTTTTATAGCAGTTTTGAAGAGCAATAACTTTTCGTCCGTACCTGTATTACACTACTGAGTGAAAAAATATACATTTCCGTCACATTTTACGTAAAAAAAGTCTCTTGGTAAAAATCTCTACGAGTAATGGTCCTCAAGATATTTGGAATCGAAATAGTCAATACATGTTATAATTGACAAAAATTATACATGTTAACTGGATAATAATCTACATAAAGTTTAGTAATAGTCTAGTGTCTTCCACGGCAAGACACTAGCCTATTACTAAAGCATTATGGGGGCTATATTTAATAAATAACTATTATAAAATTTACTAATTGTTGTAAACATTCAATTGAATTTCTTTACATCACTGTTTAAAACTTAAAAGCGCATACAGCTAGGGGACTAGCACCCAGATTTCATCATATCGCTTTTGTTGTTTGCACGTTTTGTTATTTCAGGCCAGCTTAAGGAATGATTCATTGCTGCAATCATCCATTCGGATCCAAAACGATACACGAGATACGCCAAATAATAAGGTTGCCAAATCTGCCATTAGTCCGCAAAATTCTATTAGATGTAGATCAAACACTTGCAGCGGCGCCATGCCACAACAAGTAAAGTCCTGCCCAAACTTGCTTATTTCCTCACTCGATGGTCACTGGCCCAACAGAAAACACCACATTTTTTACACTGTAAACTCGATCGTTTTCATGTGCCTTTTTGAGTTTCTCCATTTAATTTTACTTTGCTTAAATAATGTCTGTCCAAGGAGTCAGGGAACCACCCAAAAAAATATATATAAAATATTATTTAGCTGGATTAAAATGACAGACAAAACTGTCACTACCTTGTATCCTCTCTCATTGGGCGGACTATATATAGTTTAAGCAGTTACAGAGAATAAATTACAAGTTCGATGTATATTAACAGTTTTGTTTGTTATACAAAAGAACTTACAAGGATATTATAAATCACAACATATATATAAAAAGGTTATATGTACAAATTTTCAGTTTTTTTCTATAATTTGCAGTTCTTATATCTACTTGAAGAACACTTACTACCAGTTTTTCTCTTCATAGACAGAATGACTTGGTTTTTCTTCAGAACTTGAAAGTGATCATCTATATTCACAATTCTGAAGCACAAAATCGAGTTGTATACCGGGTGCGTCTCAAACTGACTCCTGTAACTTTCTTATTTTTTAGAGAAAAAAAGAGATTTGGAATGTTAGTATATGACATAAATTAGGATTGATTGGTGTATTCATTTGTTTTAGGTCACTTCCTGTTTCACCGTAAATGACTACAACTGTTGATTCCTAATGACACCCTCGGTATTGTTTTTTTTACTTTGTGCGATGTAAAATGATACTCTGAATAGAATGTCATATCATATGTCAGCTTTTGACATTTTCCAGATTTGATAGTCTAATGTTTTTCGTGTCTTGTCCTGGCCGGTTAAAAGATGCCGAAATCGTATTTTTAATTATATCTCAGTTTTTTTCAAATGGAACGAGGGTGGCTCATTAGCTTATTTCGAAAAAGCATTTTTACGAATAATTTGGTACCACACACAGTCAAATTATCGTTATGAACCGCTTGTTACAATTTCAAATAAACCATATGAGAAAATGTCAAAAATTGACATATAATATGTCATTCAGAGTTAATTTTCTATCGAATAAAGTAAAAAAATACCGAGGGTGCCATTTAAAAATCAAAAGTTGTAGTCATTTCAGGTAAAACAGGAAGTAACCAAAAACAATTGAATACATCAGTCAATCCTAATTTATGTCATATAATAACATACCAAATCTAGTTTTTTATGTAAAAAATTAAAAAAAAAATTAGGGTTGAGCCACTTTTGAGACGCACCAGGTATATTGTTATTGTGTTGTAATCTATCTCCAGTAAGAGAAAACTTTCACTCAAAAATTATGTACAGGGTATCCCATTTTGGTTAAAATCATACGGTATCTCCGTTATTAGTAAAGATAGGAATATGTGGTTTGCACAAACCTGTGCCACTTTTTTGTCAAACGGAAGATGCTGTCAACAAAATTTTCATAGCCCTCTTCGTTTCTGAGCTACAGGGTCTTTTCGAAACTTTTGCAATTTGGGACAGTCCCCGTATCTTCGTTATTATGGATGATATCGAGAAGGTGAAAACTGATTCTTGTAGAACTTTTTACGTAGAATACAGCGGCGTAGTCTATTTTTCTAAGGAAAAAATATTTATGAAAATATGAACTAAACTTATGTTTTTTCAAATGGAACACCCTGTATATTTATAAATCATATGATCCGCCTTGCTATGAGCTTCTCGAAAATATATATCACTCTATATTTATTTTCACTATTTACGGAAATATTTAAAATATATCGTTTTCTTATTAGAAGGCCGTGATAAATAACAAAAAATCAAAAATCATATTTACTAAAATTGTCATACACTTATTAAAATTTTGTTTGGAATTGATATATTTTACTTTTGAACTGTTATCACTCAATCTCTGAATATATTTTTCTTTTTTTAACGGAATTAATTATAACGGGATGGGTTTGCAAATATCTAAAAGCTTGCATTAATAAAGAATTTTCCAGGTGTTTAACATTGTGTTAGTTGCCACGATATATTTCAAATTTCAAAAATCCTCAAAATCAGAAATCGAGAAAGGACAACTCCAGGGAGGCCATCCTATGAGTTCATATGATGGCCCCCATCATATGGGTCCATTGGTTTGGTTTGGTTTGGTTTGGCTGAAAGTATATTTCACGTAAATTAGCTAAAGGAATATTTAAAAGTTCTGGTACGATAGCTTCCAAGATTTACAAATAGCGGTAAAAAGTTAAGTTTCCCTAATATATAAAGAATTTATTAGTGGCTCTCAAAATAAAACAAGAGACAGATAGCAGTATACTTTTAATAATTCTTTAGTTTCCTTTATTATCAATCATGGCCTACTAATAAATATGATCTTTTAATATATTTTTTAAATATTGCAGTAAATATTGAAAATAAATATGGAGTTATATATATTTTTCAGAAGCTTATGGCAAGCCAGATCATATAATTTATAAATATACAGGGTGTTCTATTTAAGAAAGCAAAACTTTAATTCATTTCTTTAAAAATATTATTTTCGTAGAATAACCGACTACGCCACTGTATTCTACGTAAAAAGTTCTACAATAAACAGGTTTCACCTTCTCGATACCTTTAACAATAACGGAGATACCGGTGATGTCCAAAATTGCAAAATTTTCAGAAAGACCCTGTAGCTCAGAAACGAAGAGGGCTATGAAAATTTTGTTTACGGCATCTTTTGTTTGACAAAAAAATGGCAGAGGTTTGTGCAAACCGCACCCTTCTATCCTCACGAATAACGGAGATACCATATGATTTCAACCAAAATGGGACACCCTGTACAAGTATAATTATTAAGCCAGCCATGAAATTTCTATTTCTATTGTCACATCTATATTTAAATAACAAAATGAGCAAATAAAAAACGTCCTACAGAAAAGTCTTATTCAGTATACAAATTTATAACTTCTGCTAAATATAAGATTGCAGTCATATTACATTTCATTTATCAAAACTTTAATATTTGTATAAAAAAGTACTAAAAGAGTAGGTAACAGTTGATAATAGAAAGAAAAATTGAAGTTGAAATAGAGTCAGCATAATTTTGTGGGTTCTGATAAACCTTTACTATTTCAGTTTATTTAAAAAATCGTAAAAATTTCATAAAACAGTGGCATTTTCTGGATAAATTAACATACTACGCTTAAAAATAACTTGCAGTTAACTACTGTATAAGTGAAATAGCTGTATTTTATCTATTATAAGCGTTATCATTCAATCGTTTTGTATTTAATCAAATTCAGAATTAATTTATTCTCTGTGACTACAGATTATGTAGTAACTAGTTTTCAACCCCCACACGCACACAGTGCACACAGTTCATAGAGTGGATTTTTAGGTAAACACACCCCCACCGGCTTTAACTAGACGCAATTCACTGACAAAATCCCCCAAAAGCACCACCAAACGGCACCATCACCACTCCTCCAAACTGAACCTCAAGAGTGTCAGTCCGATACTGTCCAAAAAAATCGACCACATCGAACTCAAGCCACTGAACAATTTGAAAGATAACACACTAACGGAAACGAATTTATCACAGACGAAACTGGATGAAGCCTCGACTCACTCATCGCCGAGGTTCAGCATCTTGAACAGACTGGAAATGTTACTGGAACCTACCGGGTGTTTGAAAGGGAGAGAAGAATATTCGTTGTACCTGTTTTCACCAGAAAATAGGTAAGGATGCTTTGTTTGTACGGAAGGGGGGAAGTTGATAACCGGGACCTTATAGCTATCCCTATTTCTTGAGTTATAATTCATCATACAGTGTCAGGGCTTTGATAAAAGCCAATATCTAAGACGATTTTACAGTGGTCATTTCTCCATCTCTGATCTCAATCATTATCAAAGTTTATGGCAAGAATGGTTGTCCCCTCTATGATGAAGTATTCTAGTGTTTCCATTGTATTGCCATTGTTTATAATTCTAATATTTTCTAATCTACTAAGGTGTTTATTGAGGAGACAGCGTGCTGTTTAAGAGTCTATTACGCTGTACTTTCGGGTCGCTCGCAGGGGTCGGGTAAAGCGGGTGTGTGGCCGAAGGAAATATATATTATATTTCAGAAATATGCCTAAGGATTAGCTGTTAAGGTGTTAAGCCGCACCCAAAATTCCAAACACACGTACTTTGATTGAGGCTTGCTTAAGGTTTGCAGAGCTTCACCATTTGCCATAAAGTAGCAGGCAGTTTGTTACAAAACCATATAAATTATATATCACTGTAATCACAAAACTTCATTCTATTTCCGTAATGTAACGGAATTTTAAATTATGTCTTTACTTTCGAGAAGATTTAATCCAAACAAGGAATATTTTGTTGAGGTTTGACCATCAAAATCTTAAAAATAAAGAAGTTGTAATGTGCTACAATACGGATATAGTATAATCCTTTATCTTTAATTTCCTTCTTCATTTATGTAAAAATAACTAGCCAATTTTACATAAAACGTTAAATGCCGAACGCTTATTTTGCTATTTTATCGGAGTAGTGAAATAGACTCTAAAAACCCCGTGACAATGCGAAGATTGTTCTTACTTTAATCAAGGAAAATCTTTGATTTTTCTTGATTTAAGTATCATGACTAAAGTATCTATAACTTTAGTGATAATACTTTGAGAATTACCCCAAAATACCATGATTATCATGACAAATATGAAGCAATCATTAAAATTCATGGATGTAAAAAGATTTTTTTCAAACTAATTTTCTTCTTCCTTTTTTTCCACTACGATCATATAGGAGATTATTATGTATTTATTATTTTATTTTTCAGTTTTCGTAAAAAGTGCACCTGGTTGGTCGAACAAAAATATTTTGACAACATGGTACTCCTCTTCATTGCTATGAACTGCATCACTTTGGCAATGGAAAGACCAAACATTCCACCCGATAGTCCCGAAAAGATCTTTCTTCAAAGTTGCAATTACATATTCTCTATTGTGTTCGCCTTTGAGATGTTTGTCAAGGTAAGATTAAATAAAGACGATTTAAAATTAAAATTATTTTATTATATGTACTTTAAACATTAACAGTGTAGGAATGAAATGGTAAGATTTCATCAGTATGATCAAAATTTCGATTACCCTTATAAAAAATGCCATGGAGAAACCAATGTTTTACACCAATCCCTAACTATATACAGAGTGAGACTTAAATAAGGGCAAATATTTTCAGCTCTGGTAGATCTCGATAAAAGAAACATATTTTTCTCTTTACCGTTTTTTAAATAAATCCAAAATAACCGAGTTATTTTATTTAAAAAATTTAAATAATATAGTTTTGCTTAAATTTTGAGAACCACTGGATATTTTTTGTGGTTCTTGTAAATTTAATGTACTAACTGATTGGTACTATGTTGCGCCATATTATCAAGAAATTATGTTGTTTTAACTAAGAACTCTAAATCTAAATCTTCAAATTTTTTTTCGCGAAAAAACCTCATAGACGTGTTTCTGGAGTTGAAATTTACTACCCCTAAAAATATTTGCACTCTTTTAAGACTCGCCCTGCCCTGTATTTTTCTTTTTCTTGGTAATATTTTTCCCTATGATAATTACCGATTGCTACTTTTCAAACTGTCACTCTGTGTAATAGGTGTACAAAATCATATCTACTAAATTATAAAGAAATAACCCCTATTAGACTATTGAATAAATGACAGAACTTCTATACCGGGTGCGTCTCAAAAGTGGCTCACCCCTATAACTTTTTTATTTTTTCAAATAAAAAACCGAGATTTGGTATGTTAGTATATGACATAAATTAGGATTGATTGACGTATTCAATTGTGTTTGGTCACTTCCTGTTTCACCGGAAATGACTACAACTTTTGATTTGTAAATGGCACCTTCGGTATTTTTTTACTTTATTCGAAAGAATATGACATTCTGAATAGAACGACATATCATGTCAATTTTTGACATTCTCACTTAATAAACAATCGTATTTTAAATTTCAATCTAGCGTGCTATGGCTATGTTAAAAATACTAATTCTTAATCAAGGAGCCTTGGAAACATAGATTTAATCGTCTAATGTTTATAGTGCCTTATCCTGACCGATTAAAAGATGCCCTCCTAATTTGCGAGCCATCGTAATTTTGATCATATCTCAATTTTTTCAAATGGAACGAGGGTGGCTCGTTAGCATATTTGGAAAAAACATTTTTTTACGAATAAAACCATATACGAAAATGTCAAAAGTTACATATACACATATAACATATGATATGTCATTCTATTCAGAGTGTTATGTTCTATCGATTAAAGTAAAAAAATACCGAGGATGCCATTTAAAAATCAAAAATTGTAGTCATTTCCGGTGAAACAGGAAGTGACCGAAAACATTTGAATACGTCAATCAATCCTAATTTATGTCATATACTAACATACCAAATCTCGTTTTTTTTAACTATATTTATTTATTCGTGTCAGAAGCATCATCAAGATTACATTTCATATACATATAATATCACATACAACAACAAAATAACAACAATAATTACATATAATAATAATAATAATAAGTAAAATTGCAAACATAAAAGTTATACATGAAACCACAGTACATTAAAACATAGATATAAAACAAACATAGCATGTATAAACATCATTTGAGACGGGAAACTAAACATATTTTGCCCAGAAGCGGGCAACGTCAATTGCGTATTTTTTTTAACTGAAAAAATAAAACAGTTATAAGGGTGAGCCACTTTTGAGACGCACCCGGTATTATAGTCGTGCTTACTTATTTAGTCTAAGCTACCGTATGATCGAAAAAAAGGCGTCCAAGTCATAGCCATCGTTGACGCCGTTTTTTTTTTTCATCATTTTGTATTTATTTTTGAAATATTATAGTTAAATTAATGTGTTTATCTACAACCGTTTAGTTATAACGTTTTTACATCACTATTTTTTTAGTATTTCAGTTACGTTATGAGATTCATAACACAACTAGTTGTGTTATGAATCTATAACACAACTAGTTGCTATAATAATTAAAAACAACTACGAACATCTAAATATATTAACTTTTCCGGCAATAATGATTCCGTGGCACGTACTGCGGCAAGTTCTACATCTGAAGGGAGACTTTCGGAATCGCTCATCGTAATTTTTAAAATTATTTGTCTGAGCAAAAAGTGCTCGCGTTTACTTGACAGGGCAAACTGACTTTTCAGCATAAATGTGACAAATGTCATAGTTAAAGGTGTTAAAGGTGGGCGACTAATAAACGAAAATTAAAACAACATTTTCTTATTTTTCGGTTGTAGATAAAACATTGTACATGACACGTGCGTTTAAACATGATTACAACACTCGTGTGATTAGAACGACTCGGTCTACGACCTCGTTCTAATCGTTCACACTCGTTGTAAGCATGTTCATAAACACACTTGTACTGTAAATAACTATTATTACACTTCTGACACTAAAACCATGCTTATTAGATAAATCTAACTTAATTTCTCGGTGCAACTCTTTCTAGGTTGTAGCAGCCGGTATGTGTTACGGCCCAAACGCCTATTTTACATCAGGCTGGAACATAATGGACGGATCGCTTGTAATCATCTCAGTGATAGATATCATCATGTTCCTTATTAACGACACCACCTCAAGAATCTTTGGAATACTCAGAGTAAACTACTTTATCTCAAACCTCAATTACAAAAACACTAAATTAATTCATTTTTTAGGTTTTTAGGTTGCTTAGATCCCTTCGACCTTTAAGGGTAATCAACAGAGCACCTGGTCTAAAATTAGTAGTACAAACTCTCCTTTCATCCTTAAGACCCATCGGCAACATTGTCCTTATTTGCTGTACGTTTTTTATCATTTTTGGAATACTGGGTGTCCAGTTGTTTAAGGGAACGTTTTACCATTGCGTTGGAGAAAACTTGACAGGCATAACAAACAGGAACGAGTGCGAATTCCGAAACTACGAGTGGAAGAATGAGAAGTACAACTTCGATGACTTAGTGCAGGCACTTATGTCACTATTCGTATTAAGTTCACGAGATGGATGGGTGAACATTATGTACACTGGCTTAGATGCTGTAGGCGTGGACAAACAACCTGTAACCAATTTTAATGAATGGAGACTGCTGTATTTCATTTCGTTCATTTTGCTGGTGGGATTTTTCGTGCTGAACATGTTCGTGGGAGTGGTGGTGGAGAATTTCCACCGATGCAGGGAGGAACAGGAAAAAGAGGAAAGGATTAGAAGAGCTGCTAAAAGGGCATTGCAGCTAGAAAAGAGAAGACGAAGTAAGTGTAGTAAATATTTCTTTAGCACAATCGTAATTCCAACTATGAAAGAATTTCGGCTGTATCTCAGAAACTTTATCCTATAACTTCTGGGACAATTCTAGTAAGGTAAATCGGCCAAGAGAAATCGGTGAAAATGATTTTAATGTTCTAAAAATATCCCTCTAGAGGGCGCATAGGTTATGTCCAATCAGTAAAGGAATTTTTTCGAATAATATACAAGTGAAGAGGTATTTTAAATATTGCTATTATAATCAATGTACACTTTGCATTTTTTCTTTGGTATAGAGTATTTTGCGAAGGATGTCTCACTGTTGGAATTATAGTACATTTTCTTAGCAGTCGCTGGCATCAGTCTTACGGCAGTTGACTATAATTATATGGCAGACATAGGCAGTCTTCTTCGCAGTCAATGGTAGTCGCTTGGCAGTAAAATTATATCTTGGCAAATGATGTACATTTTTTACCCAAGTGAGATACCTCTCGGTATTTTGTTTTATCTTATAAATAATGTTAAACCTACATTTTTAAACTAATGATAGCTCTGGTTTGAGTTAAAGGAATTAAACAAACTGGGGCTCGTTTAAATGAGCTTTTCTTCCTTAGAAATCTTCATTATAAACTACCTCCATATGTTCTGCCGGGATTGCTAGAAGGCGCTATTTGACATCATAACCACTTTTCATATTGCGCTTTTGAATAAAAGATTTAAATGGAAGGCTATAGCTCTTTTTTTTAGTTAAATAGATATTAAAATTTCCAAAAAGTTAGAGCAAATTGAATCTTTCCAGCTTCTCTTTTAATGGGAGATAATAAGAGAACAAATAAATATTGAAATTAGAAGAATTTTGATTTCCATTGTCTTTATTAATTTTACTTAACGTTTCAGTCAGAAGTATCACTGACCTTTATCAAGGGTGAACTAATTTCTAAATCCTCAAACTACTGAGCTTATATACTAGAACAAAGTATTCACCTGTGAAAAATTGAGTGCAGTCAAATATGAGAGTGTTCACTGAGAATACCCGCATTAGTATGCTTTATATTTTATATTGAAATTAAAACTTCCATACATGGATAGCTAAAGATGTTATTATTGCTAGAATATGAATACGGTTTCCTTGAAATTGCGCTTTTTCCGATGAGGTTTTCATGGACAAGGCTTCCGACCATTTTATGGTGAGGTAATGCTGTGCGGTTACTTTAACCACGCATGATCGGCAATACCCGACCTCATTGTTTCGCCTCTCTGAGTATATTTTATATGTCAGTTAAAGGTGCGTCCAGACCTGACGAGATGAGAGCGAGGCAAGAGCGAGACAAGAGCAAGACGAGAGCGAGACATATTCTATCCATTTTTTGAGATAAGCCCGCCATGAGACAAGCGAGTTAGATTATAATGAAAGGAACCCAAACACATTTTAAATTGTAATTGAATATAACCCACGATGGCCAAATACGGTAGTAACACGCATACAGTAGTAAATTTTTGTATTTTTAACATGATATTTGGTTCGTCGTATTTTATTCACCGTCAGTTTTTTTTCCTTTTGATTGTTTTCCCCTTTAACTCTTCATTTGTTTCGAGACACGACGTCTTTTACAAAATACGTTTGCTAACGTTTTTTTATGACAAAATGTTAAATAGAAGAGTTATAGGGAGGGTTAAGAAGCACATTTTAAAATTACTGTAGAGTATACGGGGTACTTAAAAAAAGATGGATTTTGCAGAGTAACCATTCTGAAGCAAATCCGTTTTAATACTACATTTGTGTAAGTAAAATAAACAAAGACAATGGAAAGACAAGTCCGAAATTATTTTAGTTTCAATATTGAATCATTGTTCTACCAGATTCAAAGAAATAAATATTTCTAAAGATCAGTATTTTCCAATGTGAACCAAAACAAACTAAAAATCAATCCAAACCAAATTTCTTCATTTTAGAAATGAACGAACCACCCTACTACATCAACTACGCGCCATGGAGGCTGTTCATCCACAAAATAGTGACGTCGAAGTACTTCGACCTCGCCATTGCGGCTGTGATAGGTTTAAACGTCGTCACCATGGCAACGGAAAGCTACAGGATGCCCAACACGTGGGAATACGTCCTGCGAATCTTCAACTACTTCTTCACGGCCGTCTTCATTTTGGAAAGCATCATGAAACTGGTCGCTTTAGGCTTTAAGATGTACATAAAGGACAAGTGGAATATATTGGACGTAGTGATCGTTATATTATCAGTTGTGGGGATTATTATCGAGGAAATGAAAGAGAATGAGATGAAGATTATTCCTATCAATCCTACCATTATTAGAGTAAGTATTAATTTAAATAACAAATTATAAAAATGAACAATTAACGTAGTCATAAATGAAATAAAGTGTGGTTATTAAAAAAAATAGTATATACAGTAACGTCGATTTAGTACCTCATATTACCACCTAGGATTTCATGTAAGTGTAAATCCCGTCAAAAACATAAAATGTAAAAATATATCAAGTCTCGCAACGATGTTCTTCCGCTATAAAAAAAGATGTGAGATCTCATGTAAAACCAAATCAGTTGTTTTAATTAATCTCTATGCAAGCATCTATACAGTAACTTTGTTATAATGTAGTTATAATGACTGCATGGTAACAATTAGTGAGACTAGAAGAATAATTTTGATGAAAGCTGACTGTGTCACTGTCGAAATTAAGAACTTTGTTTTGCGATAATTTCAGGACATTCAAGCACACAAAATAACAGAAAATTATCAAAAAAGGTAGATATACAGGGTGTCCCAGAAATAAGTGCAAATATTTTAAGAGGTGGTAGACCTACATAAAAGAAACATATTTTCTCTTTATCTTCTTTTTCTTTTCTCTTATATTTTTATAGTAATTGAGCCTTTTAACCCCTACGGCCATTTCTAACTTGTTATTCTAAACTCTAAACTTGGACTATTTTAGATTTAGGTGTACTAGCTTTGTCAACAGAATATTTTTTTATGACAACAAAGCATTTTGTATTATTTATTATATTTATTATTACAAACTTAAAATAAAAATATAACTTAAATAAATTCTTTTCAATATTTTCAGGTGTTGAGAGTAATGCGGATCGCACGCGTCCTTAAACTCCTAAAAATGGCAAAGGGTATCCGTGCACTTCTAGACACGGTCATGCAGGCCCTACCCCAAGTAGGCAACCTCGGCCTGCTCTTCTTTCTTCTCTTCTTCATTTTCGCCGCCCTCGGTGTGGAGCTCTTTGGCCGTCTAGATTGCAAGGTCACCCATTGCCAGGGTTTAGGAGAGCACGCACACTTCGAAAACTTCGGCATGGCCTTCTTGACGCTGTTCAGAGTGGCGACCGGTGATAACTGGAACGGGATCATGAAGGACACTTTGTACAACGAGGAATGTAACCCCGACGACGACTGTATTAAGAACTGTTGTATTTCGCCGATCATCGCACCGATATTCTTTGTGATTTTCGTCCTGATGGCCCAGTTCGTGCTGGTGAATGTTGTAGTGGCTGTACTAATGAAGCACCTAGAGGAGTCGCATAAACATCTTGAGGATGAGCAGGATATGGACATTCAGTTGGAGAGGGAGTTTCAAGAGAAACAAGAGCAGAATGAGAGGAGAGAATTGTGTTTGGCACTGCAACTGGATCAAGAATGTCACCGTCAGCTTAAGCCGAAACAACTTAAAAAGGTGAGTATAAAACTTCCATCTATACTGATCTCCAAAACATCAACACGAATCGTATTTTTTTAATATTAAATTGAATATTATATCGACTATAATTATTAAAAATATTAACCACCTTGCTGCATTAGACAAAAAAAAGTTGAACAAAGTTAATGAATGAATGATGTATTTTTTCCTTGGTCTTCCTCTTCTTCGGTGTTCTGAAGGGTTCCAGTTTAGAATTGTTTTGAACCATCTAGTAGTCTCCATTCTGCAGATATGCTCATAATTGCTTTGCTTCTATGATATATTTATATAACGCTTGTTTATCCTGTCATTTATGTGCTTATTTCTTACTTTGTCTAAATCAATCAGTCAATCTCTGCAATCTGCAATCTCTTTTTCATTTGGTCATGTCGTCTCCCAAACCTCTGCTGCATATGTCGCAATACTTTTTACTATTGTTTTATATACTGTAATTTTGGTAGCATATTTTATTTGGTTACTCCACAGAACTAAATTTGGCTGTTTAGTTACAATTGTTCCTTAATTTATATTCCTCCTAATCTCTTAGATGCTTGAACCATCACTAGCGGTTATTGAGCCAAGATATTTATATGAGTTCATACCCTTTACTACACTTCTTCTTCCTTCTTCATACTAGGCGAATCGCCTGTTTTGTTTCGTCGTCTCTGCCGGTTAGACTGACAAGTTGTCGCTCCATCGTTTTCGTGGACGTCCTAAGCTTCTGCGACCTAGCGGTGATTTGTCGCGTGCAACTCTCACTATCTTTCTGTTGTCCATTCTGCTGATATGGTCGTTCCATTCTTCCTTTCTGCTGAGTACCCACTCATTTACATTTTCCACCTTGCACGCTCTTCTAATGCTTTCATTTCTCTCCCTGTCCAGAAGCGTCTTTCCAGCTATTCTGCGTAGTACTCCCATTTCGGTTGTTTCTAGTAATTGTTTAGTTTTCGCTGTATCAGGTCGAGTTTCTGCAGTGTATGTCATTATTGGTCGTACCATTGCCTTGTAAATTCTCGCTTTAGTCTCCACCTCAATGTTTTTCTTTCGCCATATTGTATCATTCAGGCATCCTGCTATTCTGGTTGCCTTCGTTGTCCGTTCTCGCACCTCCGCTTCTACATCACCATATCCTGAGATTTCTATGCCTAGATACTTAAACTTCATCTCTTGCTAAATAACATCGCCCTCGACTTCCAGTTTGCATCTTAGTGGTAGTTTTGATGTCGTCATGCATTTAGTTTTCTGGGTCGATGTTATAATATTAAGTGATTTGGCAGTGCAATTAAATCGATGTAATAAGCGCTGTAGATCGTTCTCATTTTCAGCTACCAATACGGCGTCGTCGGCATAGCATAGAATAGTAATTTCCTGGTCGCACATACTGTATCCCTTCAGTAAACGTACATTTCCTATTATTTCGTCCATAATGATGTTGAAAAGAAGAGGGCTCAGGGAGTCACCTTGTCGAATACCACAATTTTAGCTTGAATTTGGTTCGCTTCATATATGTTTTGTATGGTTTTAACGAGGTTGTGTGGGATTTGCCTATTGTAAAGAAGGTGTCAACGTCTCTTAGCTGCACACGGTCGAACGCTTTATTTAAATCAATAAAACACATATACGCTGGTTTGTTATATTCGATTGATTTTTCTGTTATCTGTCTTATAACAAAAACCGCGTCTGTGCATGATCTGCCCGATCTGAAACCTTGCTGTTCATCTGCTAAGCATGTTAAGTCGTTAATTTCCTTTACTACACCTTTCTGTAAATGAAGATTTCAGTCTACATTTCAAACTACAATATTTTCAGGCTTATCAAACGATTTTTTTAATCCTTCCAGAGCAAGTCAAAAATTATTTATTTTTAAATTACTGTATGTATTCAAATTGACACATGGGCGTAAAATCGGATTATAAACATTTCTTTGACACTTTTTGGCATCTTGTCCAAACAATATATTGCAAATTTTAGTTCATACTACATTCGACTTAAATTTCTATACCGGGTGCGTCTCAAAGTGGTCTCAAAGAAACAAGATTATTATGTTAGTATATGACATAAATAAGGATTAAGTTGTCTGCCGGCATTTTAGCGACGAGAAAAATATCTGACAACAATTTTCCACGTTTCTTAATAATAAAAAAATATATATGGTCAAAATTTCACCCTTTCGTTTGGCCGCCCCCGCTTTAAGCCCCGGGATCGCGCTGGCGGACATGACTATTTCAGAATGGCTACACAAAAGGTTGCTTCCCAAGAAAAATTGGCCACGTAACGATGATAAGATTTATTATGTAGCCAGCTCTCCGTCTATAAACTACTCGATTCCATATTATTAAAGTGAAATAATTTTCTAAAATTTTTTGTCAGACGCTTCTTTCTAGCATAATTCATAAAAAGAGTTAATAGTTAATAATTAAATTTCTTATAGGTCCTTTCCTTACCATCAAATTTCACATTCGATTCCTCCAACACGGCAAAAGCAATCCTGGAAAGGCAGCCATCCCAGTCACGTCGCCAAACCCTTCACAGCCACCTGCCAATCATCCTTTCCAATCTGGACGACATGAAAAACATCGACGACTCCATCTCGGACATTTACAGTATCCAAGAGGTGGTCAACTTCGAAGACTCGCCCGAAGAACACAGAACTTGTCGAGAATCGATAAAGCTAAACGTAGACGAAATCATAACGTATCCTCCTATAGAGTCGCTCACATCGTATCAGCTCAAAGTGCCAAAGTTCGAGGATCAGAAAGAATTGAAAAGAATAAACGAAATGCAAGAGAGCAATAATAGACTGTCTATTCCTTCGGAAACTAAACCCGTTAGCAGACATTACGGCAGCACTAAGCACCTTTTCACCAAACAACTTAGCATGGAAGTATACGAAGAAACTCCATTCCTCTTTCCAGGTGAGGCAAAACATATACCCAGTAACGAGGGGGAATGCTCATCCAGATTACCCAAACACGACAGTCAGGAGAGTGTCCAACGAATTATTACTGAACGAAGAAAACTAGACGAAAACTTGAAGGAATTTGATCATTACGACATTTTCGACACAAAACATAGCAGCGAAGAGAACTTAGTTGATAAGGATAGAAGCAACGACAGTAAGAATGAAAATTGTTAGTTCGGTACTCGGTTGTGTTAGATAAGTACCGTCAATTGGGATGACGTCAGTTATTAGGGAACTGATGAGCTGGTGTTTCTGACTGACAGCATGGTGTTTCTAAATGTTTTATGACTACCTAAAAAAATATTGACTGAAGTCCAGGTAAAAATTCGAACCCAACAAAACAGAACAAGGAGGAAGAGTCATCAAATACACATTCTTCTTGGCCGACTTCATCCCAGTTGACATTCTTTAGAGGAATATACAGGGTCCTGCAACACTGCGTCTATAGGGCATCTATAGCATTTATAAAAGAGAACTTTCATTAATGACAGAAACTCTACTGTGTACTAGGCTAGGTACTACGTTCGGAAAAAAATGTTGTGATTATGTACTTCCTGATATATTTAGTTAATACTAAATTATTATTAAAAAAATTTGTTTGATAATTCAAGATAAATAGAGCAAGAATAAAAAAATAGTTTGAATTGGCGTACTGAAATCAAAACAAGCTCGGAGTTGGTTGTACTGCAGTTGGTCTGTTCTTAATTAATTATAAGTAATTATAATTGTAAAGTATACAGGGTGCTCAAAAAATGTCAGAAGTGCTAAAATATAAAGTATTTTTTTTATTATGTAATATATTTAAATAAGAAAAATTCGATAGGCTTGTTTTATTTTCATTCAAAAATTAAAAAAAACGTTCATTTACTTTTAGTGCATAGCAATTTTCAGCAATAGTGTAACTTTTTTATTTATAGAGATTTCCACATACTGTCTGCGAAGAAAATATAGCAGAAATATTAAGAAAGTTTTTGAAAAAAACTACAATCAATTATTTCTAATGGATTTCGAGATATCGATTTTTGAATTCAGATTTCTAATAGCGCGAGCACTGTCGAACACCAACAGAATTCTACTTATTTTTAACAAAAGTGCAAGCATTTCTAACTTGCACTTAAAAATTTACAAGCTATAGGAAAAATTACGACTTGTTCATAAATAAACAAATAAAAGTATCACGAGACGCAATTAAATCGTGAGGCTGACCGCATGATGTACACCCTTACCTAGAATTACTGAAGAACTGGTCGATCGCGACGAATCTGCAATATCCCCTTCCACGTCTCTTAGCAATGTGCACAGTTTCTTGGTTTATTCACGTTTATTTCATACGTTTGGCAACGTTTTTACTCTTCTCTCTTTGTTCAGTACATTATTTAACAAATTATATTTGATTATAAACGCATTGTACTCTTCTTACATACGATAATCTCGACTCAAATCTAACCTTTGCCAGCCCTTAGTATAGGGCGTTCCATTTAAAAATACTTTATATTTTTAACAATTTTGACATTAATTTTTGAAGATCCTATATAATTTTAATTATTTTTTAAAGAAATGCCACACAACAGACTTTTTTAATTATTAATTTATTTCTCTGGAACTATTTAATAACAAACGAATTCTATAATAATATAGTATTATGTAAAAAAACAAAAATATAATAAACTACAAACAATCTACTACAAAGCCTAAACCTTTTTAAAAAAAATCGACCCAAACCCACTCAGTTTTTTGAGACACCTGGTAGAAGTGAACATATTTTCCTGAAATACATCTTAGTACACAGTTTAGGGTTGCAGTCAAACGAAATCCCAAAGTTCTTTATTATGGGATCTATAGATGCTCGATGCGCTATTGCTGGACTCTGTTGATGTCAATAACTATACTTTTTAGATCAGCGATGTCTAATACTCTCAAAATGTGTTGTGAGCATCCTAGTATAAATCGCTCAGTGAATTTTATAGTATTAATTTAGGTGTATAAAATCTGTATAGTATTAATATTAGTCTTGTTTATTTTTACATATCTTTTAAACGTTTACTACTTAGGTAAGCTAAATGTGAAAAATGTTTTTTAGGAATTGTGGACATATTGTAAAATAGATATACTTAATGGTATTTTTTCTATGTAGATAATATAAGACGTAATTGTTCATTAGACGAGGTCGTTAGTTTAAGAAAACGATGTAAAAATAACTTTTAGTATTAAATGGATAAGAATGTACAATGTAGAACAAGAAAGTTACACATGGTGTTCCTAATGGTAGATGAAATAAGTAAGTTTAAAGAAAAAAATAATTACACAACCATAAACAATACAGTAACATATAAATTTGCATTAGTTTGATAAATACTATATGTTATACAAAATTTTCTTTTAATCAGTAATAGATAATAAATCATTAATTTGCCAATTTTCATATTAACTAAAAATCACAGGCTATTCATTACACAGCCAGACGACATCATTTACAGCTTACCTATAGTTCATATCAAATAAACTTTTAGTCACGTGATTAAGCTTGACGGGCACAACGTTGCTCACTTTTATATTTTCTTTTAATCAAAATATTTTATGAAACAAAAATAAATTAATTATAAATATATAAACATAAAGAGTTATAATTTACATCAAAAAACTCACCTTAACAGCACTTAAGGAACATAAAGGGCCATTACTACCGCTTTCCCCTTCAAAATATACTAATAAAGTTGCGATGAGTTTTTTACGGCTATTAAGCTAATCTTGTACCACTTCGCACTTAAAGTCGATCTAAAAAGAACAATGTTCGACTGCAAGGTCTGCTAGAAAACCTTTTTAAGCTTAAAGTATCACCAACACTGTTCATTTAAACCAAAAGATTCGTAATACAAAATTAAAGTGTCAAAACGAATGACACTGTCAGAAAATAAATAAATAAATGTGGCAACTTGACCTTTTTTACAGCAGAGCTACCACCTGAATACCTAGCGGGAAATTTAAATTTCAGTTAGTCAGCCCGGCGCCAAATATGTACAGGGTGGACCATTTTGGTTGTTTCTATAGGGTATCTAGGAAACCGTGAGAAATATTCAAATTTTGATACTGCAATCTCGGGTTCTTTTTTTGAAAAAATTACAATGGCGCAAACGGATCGTGGCTATCTTGATCGGTTTCGAAGCTACAGGGGGATTCTCAAATTTTGTACTTTTTGAAGATGTTCGATAGTTTGTTTATTTCAGCAACCACGGAGGCACTTTTCTGTGTAGAATGCAGTGGCGTAGTCAGACTTTTTTCGAAAAAAATATTTTTTGAGATATTAACTATACTTATGTTTTTTTTTTAAATAGAACCCCCTGTATATTTTTAAATTTTCTTATTCAGCTTGGCATGGGCTTCTCGAAAATATATAACTCTCTATATTTATTTTCACTATTAACCTCAACATTTCAAATTTTTCTTAAAATGTTCACTTAGTGGATAGTAGGCCGCGCCGAGGAACAAAGTAAACGGTTATCATGGTGATCGGAACATACCTTTGATGGATGCGGAACATTTCATTTCAACAGATTGAAATGTGTGTATTTTAAATAATAAAAAAAATGAGTAAATTTGAAAATTTTGAGGAATATAATATATTAGAATGTTATATTGAGTCTAACAAAAATATGCAAATGGCAGCTGATTTATATTTTGAGCGGTATCCAGAGCGAGAGCAACCAAACCCAGCCATTTTTAAAAGGTTAGAAGATAGTTTAATCAATTTTGGATCTTTTCAAAAACAGCGTCCCAAAAAGTTATCAGAAAGAAGATGAAGAAAATCAATATATTATTGCCCTCGGAGTTAAATAAAATGGAACAATACCAAGCAAATAAAAAATAAGTGTGACAGAAACAAAAAAAAAACATATTTTAATATAAACTCAAGAGGTTACTTCAATCGGGCTTCTCAGTTAATATAAAAAAAAATAGAAACACAAAGACTACATTAAATGTTCAGACTGCTGCCCATTATTATCTAGACAGAGTTGGTACCGTCTCCGCACGCCGCCGCGCGCCTCTAACAGAATTTCAACAGCTCTACTTGATGTTGTTGGATCTATTGTTACGGCTTCGAGGACATTAATATATTGATTTTATTCATCTTCTTTCTGATAATTTTTCAGGCCCGGTTTTTGAAAAGATCCAAAATTGATTAAACTATCTTCTAACCTTTTAAAAATGGCTGGGTTTGGTTGCTCGCGCTCTGGATACCACTCAAAATATAAATCAGCTGCCATTTGCTTATGTTTGTTAGACTCAATATAACATTCTAACATATTATTATATTTCTCAAAATTTTCCAATTTACTCATTTTTTAATTATTTAAAATACACACTTCAATCTGTTGAAATGAAATGTCCCGCATCCATCAACGGTATGTTCCGATCACCATGACAACCGTTTACTTTGTTCCTCGGCGCGGCCTACTATCCACTAAATGGATATTTTAAGAAAAATTTGAAATGTTGAGGTTAGTAGTGAAAATAAATATAGAGTGTTAAATATTTTCGAGAAGCCCATGCCAAACTAAATAAGAAAATTTAAAAATATACAGGGGGTTGTATTTAAAAAACAGACGAATATTTAATATCTAAAAAAATATTTTTTTCCAAAAAAGTCTGACTACGTCACTGCATTCTAAACAGAAAAGTGCCTTTAGAATGTATAATTCATTTTTGCATAGTTGCTAAAATAAACAAACTATCGAACATCTTCAAAAAGTACAAAATTTGAGAATCCCCCTGTAGCTTCGAAACCGATCAAGATAGCCACGATCCGTTTGCGCCATTGTAATTTTTTCAAAAAAGAACCCGAGACTACAGTATCAAAATTTGAATATTTCTCACGGTTTCCTAGATACCCTATAATGGAACATAACTAAAGAATATAACCAAAATGGTCCACCCTGTACATGGTTGGCAACATTAAGCGCGGATTACTGAAAAACTATCAAAACGGACAAGCTGTATGATGAATAGGCTGTGCTAAAAATGAACCTAATTTTCGTTTAAAGGTATTACATATTAAACATTTTTTTAAATATCATTAAAATCTACATGTATGTGATTGATAGTAGGATATAATGGCGCGACTTCAAAATATGTGTAGTTTTACGATAGAAATATTGTCTTTTAATATGGATAAATTATCTGACATACAGTTTAGTTAGTAGGTAATTCAAAATTGTGAAGAATTCGTTTGAATTAGATAATCTATCTATATTTTCTTATCTCAGGATAACTTCAAAAAAGCTCATTCAAACCACAGTTACTCGAAACTTATACGGCAGAAACACACTTATAAATGAGTTAATATTCTATATTTTATTGAAGTATTGTAGTAGATGTGAACCAATTGTAATCTATTAGATAGTTCGAAATGTAGAGTAAATTACTCTTATAGTTTTGTTAAATACATTCGCAATATTAATTCTTCGTCGCTAAAGATATTAACATTGCCGAATATTGAATAATTTCTCAATCTATTAAGACTAGAACCAGAAGCAATCTAGAATACCATACGATCGAAAAAAAATAGAGTCAGAGCTAGCTTTGAAATGAAGATCGCTTTCATGTTATATGGCAAATGTCATTGGTCATCATTTACAAGCCATCGCTTGTCAACATCGTTGTAATGAAGGATTTAGCAAATATATCATAATAAAAGAACAATGTGATAAATGATGTCAAAATGTCTTGTGAGAAATTACATCAGAATTTGTTTAATTCTCAAAATCAAAGAGGCCTGTTGATAAAATTTCTTGATCACAGAATATAATGTGTATTTCTGAAAGCTGCTGGTTCTTGTACTATTTCGAATACCGTGCTGGCAACTGTTACTTTTGGGTCGGCATTTACATGTGTGGAAGTAAATCGCATAGGGATCTTATTAAGTCGGAGTGAGATAAATGCGACCGACAGACGCGACGCGCGACGGTGTGCTGTTGCGGCGTTGCCGATTCGCCTTTCCCTATCAAGTAAAGTAAAATCGCGATCGCAAACCGCTTATTTTTAAAAGACTTTTTTTTCAAGAGATAACTAGATAAAATCATTGGACATGTTACTGAGCATCTGAAATGGAATTATAAGGATATCGTTAAGGTATCATTTTTTTATAACGTGAAAACGTCAGTAATCGCGATAATGTAAAAACTCAACTTTTTAACACATAACAGGCCATAACTCAAGAACCACTTTAGATATTGAAACTTTTTTTTTATTTTCAAGATCGGATATTTTACAATATGTTTACATAAGAAAAATTCGATAAGGTTGTTTTTTCCATTCAAAAATTGTAAACAATCCATCCATTTACTTTTAGAGCATAGCAATTTTCAGCAATCGTGTAATTTTTTTATTAATAAAGATTTTCCCATACTGTCTAAAAGAAAATACAGCAGAAATATTAACAAAGTTCTTGAAAAAAACTACAATCTATTATTTCTAATAGATTTCGAGATATCGATTTTTGAATTCAGAGTTCTAATAGCGCGACCACTATCGAATACCCACTCAATTCGACTTATTTTTACCAAAAATGCAAGTGTTTCTAGCTTGCACTTAAAAAAATTCAAGCTATAGGGAAAATTACGACTTAATAAATAAACAAATTAAGTATCACGAGACGTAATTAAATCGTAAAGCTGAACGCATGACGTACACCTTTCCCTAGAACTTTAAGTACTGACAGAGGTATTGATTGGGTCGACCGGTCAACTGCGACAAATCTGCTTATCCCCTTCCACGTCTCTTAGCGATGTGCACAGTTTCTCCGTTTATTTCATACGTTTGGCAACGTGGTTACTGTCCTCTCTTTGTTCAGTACATTATAAACGAATTGTACTCTTCTTACATACGGAAATCTCGACCCAAGACTAACCTTTGCCAGCCCTTAGTATATAAACTTTACAGGGTTGATCTTGGAAAATAAAAAAGTATTTAATAAACACAATAGTAGTCAACTTAGGTATTAGAAGCTAAAGATATGAATTTAAATGAGACAATCTAAACTATCTAATCTTCATTTCGGAGCTTAGGTCCTAAATATACTAGCTTAAAACTGCAAAGCGATCTTCTAGCATTTAACTGCGAGACTGTATTATCCAAGAATAAAGATAATACAAGATTTCAGTTACCTTGCATTTAAGGGCAAGAAGATCGAAAATATATCGGGTACGTTCATGTCGTATGTCTTCCTGTTGAAGTCAAATGTACTGGTTGGGATGTCAATTAATAAAAATCAATCAAAAGAGAAAACGTATAAGATACTTGCAAGGCCAAAAAGACATGAACGTACTTCAAACAATTTCTTAAAAGGATTATAGGCGAACTTGAAGGGAAAACTTCTGTAGTTTATTTGTTAATTTTTCTAATGGTTAGTCAATAAAAATGATTTTTAACATTTTGCATAGGTCATTAAATATTTCATTATAAATACTGTTTACAGCAATTTCTTTCTATTTTTTATTAAGAATATTTCTACATAATTTACGACTTATAAAAAGACGATTTACGACTTATAAAACTTCTACAAAAAAAATTGGATTATAAACTTAAATATTAACGAAAATTTCAGATCTCAAGATTTTTTTTTCACCTGTAAAATATTTGGTTTTTATTATAAATAATTATTTGTGTATATTAACAAAAAAAATGATTTTTTTTCTCTTATTTTTAATATTATATGCTTACTAAAGACACAGTTTGTAAAACTGTACTTATCAAATATGAAATCTTGTTACCTACAATATAACTACCAAGCATATTTCATCTTATGTACTAGGTGTCGTAAACTTTTCCGGCATATTGATATGTAAAAATAAAAATATTTTAACATATGATATATGCTGGAAAAATAACCATGTTATTCCGAAAACCTTGTATATACTTGAAACGACGATACTTGACTACGTATACTTGAAAAAAAACAATAATTCTCATAGCAAAGTTCCCTAACAATATTAATATTCAACTTAAAAATATATTTCTGATGGCCTACAATTTAGTAAAAATCAAATTTTTTGATGTCTTGTCTGTGATATTTTTAGTCCTCCTTCATAGTGATTTTATTTTATTTCTAGATTGCCTTTATTTCACTTTCATTTTCTAAACATGTAAAAAAATAACAATTACTCGGGTCTTTAGCATCTTCACTATTGTACTGTTCTTAGTTACCTATATTTTTATTTACCAGCAGATTAGAGCAGTTAAAATTGCTATATTTTATTTTGGAATAACTGCGGTAACCTGCTTTTCTAACTGTATTTTGTTTATAACCTGTGCCTTCTGTCTGTACATTGAATCTTGTACATCTTCGTTACTATTTGTAATTAGAATCTAGCATTTAAAATGTCACTAGTTATTGTAAAAGGTCAATAAAGTATTAAAATAAGTGCTTCAAGAGTTTTTTTACATCTGTAAAGCTATAAGACAACCACCCTTATATGGCTTTATTTGGAGACATATGGGTACAGACTAGGGTTTCCAATTTTCGTATTTCACGGATTAACCCTAGTTTAATAGTACAGACCACAAAACATCCCCCTTTAGAATTTCGACTTATACGTCATAAAATGAAAGGAAAAGAAGCGCCCCCTTGAGTTCGTTCGTTGCACTAAAGTCATGAAATATCGATCTCTATATTTAATTTAATTTTTTTTAACAATACAGAAACATTTTTTAATTGTAACGATATAGGTATATTAAAATATTTCATTATATACCGGGTGCGTCTCAAAAGTGACTCACCCCTATAACTTTTTTATTTTTTCAGTTAAAAAAACGAATTTTGGTATATCAGTATATGACATAAATTAGGATTGGTTGACGTATTCAATTGTTTTTGGTCACTTCCTGTTTGAACGGAAACGACTACAACTTTTGATTTTTAAATCGCACCCTCGGTATTTTTTTACTTTATTCGATATAAATTAAAACTGAATAGAATGACATATCGTATGTCAACTTTTGACATTTTCGCATATGGTTTAATTGAAATTATAACTTGCGGTTCGTAACGAAAATTTGATTCGAAATACCAAGTGTGTGGTATCAAATTATTTATAAAAAAATGCTTTTCCCAAATATGCTAATGAGCCACCCCCGTTCCATTTGAAAAAATTGAGATATGATTAAAAATACGATTTTGGGCATTTTCTAATTGACCAGGACAAGACACTAAGAACATTAGACGATCAAATCTATTTTTCCAAGGCTCCTTGATTAAGAATTACTGTTTTTAACATAGCCATGGCACTCTAGATTGAATTTTAAAATACGATTTTTTATTAAGTGAGAATGTCAAAAGTTGACATATAATATGTCATTCTATTCAGAATTTAATTTTCTATCGAATAAAGTAAAAAAATGCTGAGGGTGCCATTTAAAAATCAAAGTTGAAGTCATTTCCGGTGAAACAGGAAGTGACCAAAAACAATGGAATACGTCAATCAATCCTAATTTCTGTCATATACTAACATACCAAATCTCGTTTTTTTATCTGAAAAAATAAAAAAGTTACAGTCTGACAAACGGATCTGAAACAACAGGGCAACGGTAAGGGGATCGCAATCTTGTGAAATCATGACCGATTTCATTCATAAAATATCCAGGAGCGTACGGTGTTTCATAAAAATATATCAGGAATTTTTATATTTTCCAGTAAAGTTTATAATATTATTTTACTTTAAATGTACCTAGATTTTGTTTAGTCATTTGTCATATATAGTAATATTTGTTAAAACGCGTGTACTAATTACAATAAGCAGAAATAAAGTTAAAGGCATAAAACACAATATAATACACCGCCACTGGATTTTTCAGTAGTAGTGGCTGTTTCTACTATTCCTAGAGAGGGGCATAAAGTTGGGGGTAATGGCGGCAAGACGTGCGAGAATCTCGACCAATCAGATTGGTTGAATATCCCGGATTCAACCATGATGAATTTTGTCAGCGTTGCCAGCTTGCCCTAAGCGGACGTTATTTTTAGGAAATACTTTGCCTTTTATAATAGGCAGAATGAGGGAGATCAGTTAATTAGATAAATATACATTAATACAATAAGAACAACGTCAAGATATTAGCATATATATAATTATGTATGCTGAAACTAAAATATATTCAATTTATAGGTAATATTGAGCAACTTTGCTTCTCTATTATTAAACGTGACAACGTCGCCTTTTTTTGCCCGCATTCCTCTTGCTGTTTTAGATCCGTTTGTCAGATAATATAGGGGTGAGCCTCTTTTGAGACGCACCCGGTATTAAAAATTACAATAAAAAATTGTAATTTATATATGACATAATTTAATTTTATTTTGTCACAATAAAAAAAAATGTTTATCAATACCCAATTGAACGTTTAAAGAGATAAAACAATTATTGATGTTATTGTAAATTATGTAGTTTACATACCTATAAACTGAAAAAAAGTACAAAACGATTGGAATCTCTCCGGGATTTGGAAAACGAAAAAAAGAGCCATTTTTGTTGTCGCAATTAGGAACGCTACAGTTCTTCTTTGCAGGTTTGCGTTCTCGGTCGAAAAAAGCCATAGCAATTAAATATGAATAATTAAAATAAAATGTACTTGGTAAAATAGGCACAAATACACCAGTAATTAATGAGGACATTGCCAAAATCACACAACGAAATAAAAATATTGACATATTTAAAAAACAAATAAATATTTGTTATTTTTTCAATGACTAGCAGCGCCTCTAGTGTTTGTTCGCACAGTATAGCTTTTACTTCCAGTCATTGCCATTACAGAAAATGTTTTAATGGGGGATGTTTTGTGGTACAGACTTCTCAGTGTCACTAATTAAAGACTTTTCAGTGTAAATAATATGTAACAGCTGTCAATTTTGACTTTAGTTACTAAACTAACAACTATGATTGTTTGTTTTCGTAGTTTCGCCAGCAACACAACGTAGTTCTGAGACCAAGACTTCTATTACAGAATCTATTACAGCTGTAGTAAAATGGGTAATTGTGGAAATTAAAAATCCAACCCTAGATGTGACTTTTTCCATAAACGCTTACTAGGACGGTATACGGCACAGAATGTATCAACCCAACTTTTTTGCTCTCTTTAATACGTTTAATTGTTTAGTAAACTATCTCCATCACTATCTTACACGTTAAATTCTAAACCACGCTCCAACGGTGATCAAATCTGTATGTCAAAGTAGGACAATTAAGTAAAACAAATCCACCAACTATTCATTTATTTGTAATTATTTAATTTGATACAAATAACTTAAATTAACAATATTAAATATTATATTTAAAACATATGAAGCCAATGCATGTATTACGGAAAAAATTGTGAGAAAGTTTAAATCTAAAATATCTACTATGCTAAATCACCTGGAATTAACGGCTGAACGATCCGAACTTTGGAAGGCTTCAGAGAGTGCAAGCAAGTTGAGAGGACCAGTCATTTTATTACAAAACCACCGAGAGATTTGATCTTCCTATGACCTCACCTGTTGGTAACTGTAAAGATCCAGACGATTGCATGAGAGAGGGCCCTCCGTCGGTTGGAACCAGACTTAATTGTCATAAAATACTTTTAATTTTTCATGATCTGCAAGTTGTTTTAATTGCCTAGTGAATACTTTGAATATATTATTAAAATATATAGGGCTAAATATTGCCTCGAGCATTTAAAATGACAATTTGCATTAACTTACAGCGTCTATATGATAAAAGAAGCTTGTATAGGCTTGGTGCATTACAACCGATTTTTTTTTAAATTGCGAGAGCAGCGCTCGGTACGGCATAAATCAGAACTGTTCATGTTCATTCAAACGTTCGAGTTGATAGCATTGAAATAATATTGAAATCATGGCTATGGCTATGTCATAATATTTAAGTATTTTGGTTTTTACTAATGCCAGTTATTGAAACTATAAACTTCTCAGGTATAAAGTATGGGTGATGTAACGCTGTTTCGGGTAGTAAAAATTAGGCGAAAAATAACTTGAATTGGGCGTAGGGTTGGGTTGTGACAATTTCAAATAATAATAAAATCTATAAAGTTCATAACATAAAAAAGAGGGCGTAATTGTGTGGTTGTTCGGTGCAATAACATTAAATACAACTCTCCCAAAAGCAAAAATGGATTCAGGCAGTTCATTGAAACAAGTGAGTAGACAAAGTGCCTTTTACATAATCAAAAAATTAAATAGGAATATGCTATAGGGATAAAATATAATTTGATCAATATTAATAGTAATTTTTTAAAGCAACTAATACTTAAATTTTTGATGAACATCTTCCAAAATTATAATTATGTACCTTTAGAAAATGTAGTTACAACCCAAATAGCCCCAGTTATGACCCACTGGCAAAACCGGTACGTAAAACTATGCTCGCTATCATAGTTGAACTGACCTAAAAAGTTTATAACTCGAATAATAAATTATAATACACGTTAGACCTACTGACGATATAAAAATATTTACCTTTTTTTGAATTTTCACAAAAAATAACTTACTTTTCAATTATTATAACAAAATTTTCGTGTATTCGCTATTTAAGCTCGCATATTTGTATATAAGTCATTTTTTACGAGAAATTCCGATGGTGGCAGCACCGTCGAAGAATGCATCAAGCCTATAGAGGTAGTGAAAAAAAATATCACTTGTTCGAAAGTATTTGGTACGCTTGTTTGGTTTAACAATCAAGAGAGCGTAAAGATGTACTGTGTAAAATATATCAAGGTCCATAAGCAAAAATATAGTACTTAATTTTAAATATTACATAATTTTTAATTTTTCAGATACAATAAATAAGAAACTGTATATCTGTGTATTAATAAAGATTTGAAAAAAATTATTCTTCTAAATTATGTGAACATTTCACAGAAATATGTTCCAATATGTGTTTTCTTAAACACAATTTAAAAATATGTTCTAAATTAATAATGAAGAGTAAATTATATTTTGGAGTAGTTTTTAGTTAACAAAATAAATTGAAAAGATATAAATTCGTAAGAAAATATTTTAAAGTTATTTTGTTTATTAAAAATGTATGTAAAACTATTATTGTTGTAACACTACGAAAAAAATTATGTAGGCAATAGAAATATAGCAACAACCGAATATTGCCCCGTTGTTTCTAATACAAAAATATCAGTAGCAGAAAAACAGAAATAAATGTTAGAAACCATATTTTATGAATTACTCTGATTTGGTAACGGTTAAATATTTATTTGGATAAAACGTTTAATATGATAATTACTTTTCGACCCCTTCTTCTTTTATAAAAATTTATAGAATTTTACATACAAGGTGGCGCCTCTCATAAGCCGCCGAAGCTCCACGGAGAACGGTAGTTTATATCGAAACGAAATTTTGGCAGCATATGTAGGTTAACTGAAACCATCTTATAAAAATATATAGAATTATACAGGGTGTCCCCAAAAAAAGTTACACATCAAAGTTGTGTTTTTTCTAATGGAACACCCTATATATTAATTGATTTTCGGATTCTAGGCAAAAAATAAAGGTGAGTTTTATTAAAGAAGCATATACCTAAAATCTAAGGATTTTGGCTTATTTCACATTTTGTGAAAATGAAGAGTAAATTTTAAATTTTGACAACAGCTACCTAAATTTTAGTTGACCTTGTATAGCCTGATATTTAATTACAGTAACCATTGTATGTTAAACCAAATTGAAATTTGACCCGAAAAGTTATACAGGGTGAGACAAAATTAATATGGAACATTAGTCGCTTTTAAAAGCAAGTTATTCCTTTATTTTAAATGGAATACCTAATATATTTTTCCGGTGTTTAATGGCGAATTTATATATCTTCAAAATATTATTAAGGTGCCTATCCCTCAGACAAAGATTTTCTTAGATATTTTAATTTTTATGATTTTGCGTCAGTAGGTCTTTGTTATTTAAAAAGATCCAGGGTGGCTGTGTATACCATTTGTTAATTTAACAAAAATTAAAGATTGTAGAATAAAATACTCAACGGTTATAAAAAGATACACGTTCAAAACATATTTTAATTATTACAGAATAAAAACTAGATATAAACCTATAATTATGTGATAAAAATTAGCTAGATAAAATCAAATGCTCAAAATGTTTCCTTTCCTGTTAACTGCATAAAATAATTGTCTTTTCAAAAGGATCTTTTCATTTTAAAAGAAGTTCTACCTCGAAAAGTAGATACAATAATTTCTCTCATGTTGTCGACAATAGTTGGTCGAGTTTTGTAAACACTGGCTTTAACATATCCCCATAAAAAACAGACTAGATAAAATCAGGAGTATTTAAGTATTCTATTAATTGGTGAATGCACACTGCATTCACCAACTAATACAATCATATCAATTCTCTCTGATGTATGATAAGTTTGCATTTTCTGAAGATCTATCTACTCAGATCAAGTCATGTAAATGAAAATATCTATGAAAATCTTTGTTTCAGGGGTAGGCAACCTTAATAGTATTTTGAAGAGACATGAATTATCCATTGAATATCGGAATAATATACTGGGTCTTCCATTTAAAATAAAAGTAATATGCTTTTAAGTTTTAATTTGATTTAAAGTACAATAGTTAATTTAACTACAAAAAAAGCTATACCGAGTAAATTCCAATTTAGGTAGCTTTTATTGTAATTTAAAAATTGTTCTTTATTTCTAGAAAATGTTTAATATGTCAAAAACCTTACATTTTAGTCATATACTTCTCTTATAAAACTCACCTTTATTTTTCTCCCAGAATCCGAAAATCAATTAATATATAAGGTGTTCCATTACAAAAAACACAACTTTGATGTGTAACTTTTTTTGGGGACACCCTGTAGAACTCTCTATATTTTTAAAAAGTCCTCTGAATTAACCTACATATGCTCACAAAATTTAATTTCAATACAAACTGTCGTTCTCCTTGGAGCCTCCGCGGCGTATGAGAGGCGCCACCCTGTACAAGTCCATTCACTCTAGAGAATGTCAGTTCAATAAATATGAAAAAGAGTTTAAAAAATTCCATTGTTATTAAAAAATCTTAAATTTTATCGGAAAATGTAGTAAAATAAAGTAATGCCTTAAGCAGTTATTTTTGTATTCAATTTTGTACTTCTTGCTTATAACTCTATACTTGCATATTTATAATTATTAACATTATTACCCCAAAGACATGTGGGTTTCTAGAATAACAATTTAGTACTAGACAGAATAGAACTAAGAGTACTATTTAGAAACAAACAGAAATAAATAATTAAAAAAAAAGGTCAGAAATTACAATAAAATATTTTCCAATCATAAATTTTGACTTGTTGTTACAGAACAACCCTATGGAAGACCAGCTACATCTGTCTAATTTCACGTCACTCAAAACGTCAAACCAAACAACCTTATTTATCACAAGAGTATACATCAAACTGTACAGAGTGATATAATATCTTCTGAATGATACATATATTAAACGTACTATAATCAAAATTAAAAGTATTTCATAGACTTATCAATATATAAATGAATAAATACCTCATTTAAAAATGATGAAACCGATATCGAATGTTTCGTGTGGTGTAGGTACGGAGATAGTGAGCATTTGCCACAACATAAACTAATTTTATATAAAACTTTTTTCAAACTTAAGCTATAAATACCTCGTGGTACAAAAGTACAAAAAATCGCGGACAGTGTTGCCAACTGTTTGTAGCGTCTGGACGTTTCACTGCTGAAAACTTATAAGACACATTGGCGTTTTTTACCAAGTCCTATTATACATAAAGAGTATCTATATATATAAAATATGATTAACCACACCAAAAAGTTGGGTTCTTATTTACATTTACTAGTTACTTGATTAACAATTTTGGGAGTCCTTCAGTAACATACCAGCCTGGTTATTCTAAATTGGTGGTCCATATTTTAATGAGCAAGACAAATATAATGATAGATAACTTCAGCTTCAGTAACTACTTAGAATGACTAGCAACGTAAAATAGACTTTAGTGAAGACCTGAAAAATATGTGAGTACAACACCGCCACAATTCTACTATAAGTATGAAAAGAGTATATTTTAAGTTAATTAGTATTTACTAATAAATAATATTTTCTTGCCTTTAGCTGTGTATTTTTTCTAATTTTGAAAAATCGAAAGTAGAAAAAAAAATAAAAAGTAAAAAGAAAATTGTTTTGCTTGTCGTAAAGGGGGGAACCAAGCTCCACTCCCACAACCGGTTTCTGGGCCTACCCTTCATCAGGTGGGCTGTCCAGGGGCTGGTTCTCACCGATACGGCAAGCAAAACTTCTTCTATATCAACAGACGATGTCGTAAAGTGTCGGTGAGATATTAGTGCATCTCCCGTCAAAGATGGTAAAGAGCGTTTTTCGGCCCGCTCAAATATATATGAATGAACATAATTCTTACAGCTTTAGTGTATATTAATAAATAATATTTTCTTGTCTTTAGTTGTGTATTTTTTTAATTTCGAAAAATCGAAAGTAGAGAAAAAATAAAAAGTAAAAAGAAAATTCTTTTGCTTGTCGTAAAGGGGGGAACCAAGCTCCACTCCCACAACCGGTTTCTGGGCCTACCCTTCATCAGGTGGGCTGTCCGACACTTTACGACATCGTCTGTAGATATAGAAGAAGTTTTGCTTGCCGTATCGGTGAGAACCAGCCCCTGGACAGCCCACCTGATGAAGGGTAGGCCCAGAAACCGGTTGTGGGAGTGGAGCTTGGTTCCCCCCTATACGACAAGCAAAACAATTTTCTTTTTACTTTTTTTTCTCTACTTTCGATTTTTCGAAATTAGAAAAAATACACAGCTAAAGGTAAGAAAATATTATTTATTAATATACACTAAAGCTGTAAGAATTATGTTGTATGTATGAAGAAGTTTTGCTTGCCGTATCGGTGAGAATCAGCCTCTGGACAGACCACCTGATGAAGGGTAGGCCCAGAAACCGGTTGTGGGAATGGAGCTTGGTTCCCCCCTTTACGACAAGCAAAACAATTTTCTTTTTACTTTTTATTTTTTTTCTCTACTTTCGATTTTTCGAAATTAAAAAAAATACACAGCTAAAGGCAAGAAAATATTATTTATTAATATACACTAAAGCTGTAAGAATTATTTTCGTTTCATTAATATTTACTTATATTTTTTAATAAATACAGTATCTCAATTTATAACACAATGTAACAAAATGTCACAATTTTCATAGCGTCTTCTCTAAGTAAAAAAGCGGCATGTGGTAACGTTATAACGCCTCCATAATATTAAGTTTTGGTTTCCTCTTAGAAATGTTTTCTTGTTTTATTTTACATTTTTAATGAAAAATCTGGCAATACTGCATAGAAGAAACGTATCAACCAACTTTTCCTCTCCTAAGACATTTATATTTACATTAGCGTATCTCCATTATATCTTATACATCAAAATCCAAACCACCAATTTCAGAATGACCAGATACAAATAAAAATAAAAATAAATGACTAGAAATTTGACATTAATCTAAAATTTTACTGAAAAACTCCATTCAGGTTGTTGGTAATTAATATAGAACTTAATTTAAAAAAAATCACCTTTCAATTTTGTTTTTTTTTAGAAAGTGAATTACTAGGTGAATGAATTCATTTCACTAACCTGCACTAAGCCTGGAAGAAAATTTTAATTATATCTCAACTAAAATAACACCTACCTGTGGTAGATGATCTTACTGGTCAACTACGTTTTGAAGATATTAACGTCGATGCCTGTGAGAACCGTGGTGATGGTGGTGGTGGTGTCTGTGGCGCTCTGTAAAAAAAATGTAAATATTTCTGGAAATAACTTTTTTATTTTTTCAGTAAAAAAATCGAGATTTGGTATGCTAGTATATGATATAAATTAAGATTGATTGACGTATTCAATTGTTATGAGTCGCTTCCTGTTTCACGGGAAATGACTACAACTTTTGATTTTTAAATGGCACCCTCGGTATTTTGTTACCTTATTCGATAGAAAATGACACTCTGAATAGAATGACATATCATATGTCAACTTTTGACAATTTCGAATATGGTTTATTTGAGATTGCAACATGCGATTCATAACTACAATTTGACTCGAAATACCAAATGTGTGGTACCAAATTAATTGCAAAGCAATGCCTTTTCCAAATATGTTAATCAGCCACCCTGGGTCCATTTGAAAAAATTGAGATATGATTAAAAATACTATTTAGGCATCTTTTAACTGGCCAGGACAAGACACTAAAAACATTAGATGATCAAATCTATTTTTCCCAGGCTCCTTGATTAAAAATTAGTGTTTTTAATACAGCCATGGCACTCTAGATTGAAATTAAAATACAATTTTGTTTTAAGTGAAAATGTCAAAAGTTCTCTATTCAGAATGCCATTTTCTATCAAGTAAAGTAAAAAAAATACAAAGGGTACCATTTAAAAATCAAAAGTTGTAGTCATTTCCGGTGACACAGTAAGTGGCCGAAAAGAATTGAATACGTTAATCAATTCTAATTTATGCCATATACCAACATACCAAATCTAGATCTTTTATCTGAAAAAATAAAAAAGTTATAGAGGCGTTGTAAATATTCTATTTAAAAACCAGTGTTTTTAAATGCCTTTAAAACATCTTACTTGTTTTAAACATGTTTATGTAATATACTCTATTATGCTATAATGAATTGAATATTTAAAAAAAAACACTGTTATAAAATATTTACATTTGAAAAAAAAATTGAATTTGTTATTTTAAAAATATTGCTAAAACTCCTAAAAACGCACTTGGTAGATCATGTGTATTTTTCGAATACATAGGAATTTTATAGCAAATATACCCTCTGAAAAAAATATTGCATTCTATTTGAAAAACTATATTAGCCGACCATACCAATAGGTATGGTAGGCTATTAAGATCAGCAAAAAAAGTTTTTTTAATTTCACTCAAAATGAGTTATTTGGGTCATAAATGACCTAAATACAAAATATTTTCATGGTGTCTGTCTGTCTGTCTGTCCGTCTGTAACACGATAACTCAAAAACCGCTGAACCGATTTTAACCAAATTTGGCACAAAAATACTGTGGCACCCGAGAATCTGGCCATTAATTTTTGGTGGGGGTGGGTGGTTGGTAAGGGGGTATGGAAGGGGGTTAAAAATTTTAAAAAACCGTAACTCCTAAATTACCGTAGCTAGAGAAACGCGGTTTTCAAATTAAGATTAGGAATAATATTTGCAACAAAATTTGTAATAACATCAAAATCAGTGAAAGTCGCAGTTTTTGAGATATTAACATATTTTAGTATGGGTGTCTATATGTGCCTCCCGGCGCCAATTTTTTTAATATAAAAATATATTTGAATCAAGCAATCTATAAAATATATTTTTAAAATATACACTACCAATTCCCATATTTTTTTGTAAAAAAGATTAGACTAAAAAACTCAAATAGAAAACAGCACAGAAAACTATTTCAAAACACTGGATCACCCTGTACATAGTTATTAGAATTTTTAGAATTTAGAATGAGTGGGAGGGGGGTTAATCACTTCGACCTTCCAGATCCATTGTGTCCCCCTTTCTTGAATCATAACTCATCATACAGTCCCAGGGCTTTGACAAAAGCCAGTATCTGGGACGGTTTTATAGAGGCTAGTTCTCCATCTCCAATATCAGTCGTACCAAAATTCATGGCACGAATGGTTGTCGTCTCGGCGCACTCAGTGATGAGGTGTACTGGTGTTTCACCATCTTCCCCACAGAATCTGCATTCGCCGTTTCTTCTTAGTTTCAATCTACTGAGGTGTTCATTGAGGAGACAGTGTCCTGTTAAAAACCCCGTGAAAATCCGAAGATTGTTCTTACTCAGACCCAGGAAGATCTGTGATTTTTCTTGATCATAAGCCCTCAGAAACTTCTTCGAGTGTCCTAGACCATTGCAAGATTTTCATTCTTGAGTTCCGCCTTGAGTTGGTTACCACTTGGAAAGCAGAACGGTTCTGGTCCAGTTAGTGGAGTGTTCGCTCCTTTCCTAGCTAGATTATTTGCTTTTTCATTGCCTTCTATCCCTTGGTGAGCAGGCACCCAGTGTAGGAGGACTTTGTTTTCTTTGCCTAATTTATTCAGCTTCTCTATGCATTCTTTGACCAATTTCAATTGATTGATACTGAGTTGATCGCCTTTAACGCTGCTTGACTATCAGATAAGATGGCTATTTCTTGTTTCCGATAGTTCCTATCTAAGATAAGTTGTACGCATCTCTCGATAGCGTAGATTTCTGCCTGTAAGATACTAGGGTAAGTGCCCATTGGTTCGGAGTAATTAGCTATCGGCCCAAACACTCCGATCCCTGTTCCCGTATTGGTTTTGGAAGCATCTGTATACCAAGTTATGGTATGGTCTTTTAACTGCTGGGCAAGCGTTTCGCTCTTCCAATCCTTCTTATTGCTCAATACTACATTGACATGTTTGTCAAAGTTGTACGTTCTTGGCATATCGTCCACTGGGAGTTGCAGAAGTGGTATTTCCTTTTTGAGGGTGTTCCAAGCCCCTGATCTGACAATTCTCCCAGTACTAATACTCCCAGTACTAAGTACATAGTTATACTCTATGATCGAAAAAAAAACACGTTCAGTTGGCTTGGAAATGAATATAATTTTAAATATGAAATGATAGCGATCTTTATTTCATAGCCATTGTTGACACCATTTCTTTTTCACTCATACGATAGATCTAATAAGAACATATTCACATAATCCGAATCAAATGAAGTATAGCAGAAATATACTCATGTTTTAAAAAGTTAGAAAATGTTTCATATATTTACCTTCACGGTCAGAGCGATATCTTCTTTCTTTTTCTCTACCCCTCTCACGGTCCCTCTCCTTTTCATGATCTCGATCCCTCTCCCTTCTCTCCTTCTCTTCGGTCTTCCTTTTCTCATAATCTTTGTCTTTCTTTTCACGTTCCTTGTCCTTCTCCCTATGCTTGTCTCTAGAAGATATTATAACAAAAATATAACAAATAAAAATAGAAACCTCTAAATCAAAGTACTACCTGTGCCCTGACCGACTCCTTTCCCTTTCCTTCTCTTTTTCCCTTGTTGGTTCTCTTCTCTTTTCCCGATCCCTATCTTTATTCCTACGGGGACCCTCCTTGACTTCCTTAACAATTGCCATAATTTCCTCTACAGCACTTTTGAGCCTCATATATCCCATATGTTGCTTGCCCATTAAATGATCATCAATCCTTTGCTGGGCGTCTCCGACAATTAAAAAAGCCCCACAAACTTCACATACCTCCATTTGCTTTTCTTGCTCAACAGCTAACTGAGCAGTCATGTTTAAATGACCAATTTCGGAATGTTTCTTTAAAACATCTCGTTCTTCTTTCAATTGATCACAAAGTTTCATCAAGCCTTGAGCCTGCTCCACATTACCATCAGTGCCAGCTTGCTCAGCTTCTTTTTCTAATTCATTAATTCGTTCATTTAGAATATCTATTTTTTCCTTATCTTTTTCGTTCTGAACAGGATTGGCGTTGTTTATGGCGTTTCGACCACTAAGAGCTAATCTTTGTTTGCCTTTTACGATTTTCCTGTCCACCTCATTAATCATTGAAGAACAAAATCTTATAAAATCATCAAAATATTGTAATTTCTTATAATGGGTCTTCTTAGCTTCTTGAAAAAGCTTTCTCGCTTCCTCATCATGAGTTTTTGCGCAAGGCCCTAAATCGGCTCTAGTATTAACAAACAAATCGTGGGGACAAAATTTTACCATAAAATAACTGCAAAACTAAAATTTTAACACAATAAATCGTCGCTTTATATATTAACGTATTAATGGATTAACTTACCTCAGAATCTTCCCAGTTTGTTCTTTTAACTTCTTCATTAGGAGCAACATTTCGATGCCTTCCCATAAGCTCGTCCAACAATTGAGCTGCAGCGAGGACCGCCATTGCAAATCTGTTTTATAAATTGAGTAATAATAAATAAGAAGCTATACTATATTTTACAACTATTTCTTAATTACCTAAGAATGTTTCGACACCAGTTATATTTGAAACCACGAGGTAACTAGCATATAAATTATAAACAATTATCAGCTATTTACTATAAATAAAATGTGAAAAATCGGGACAACCAGGAAAATGTCAACTGTCAACTGGGCTATCAGAGTTTATAACACAAGTTTATAATTTACTTGTATCCAGGGTTCGGAAGTAGTTAATTAAGACGTAATTTACCTGATTAACTACGTGTAGTTTTTCTTCAAAAACTACGTCTTTTCCCGTTCATTAACTACATGAAAACTACGTTAATAAACTATGTATTGATATTATGAATAATTTTCATTTGTATGAGGTGTAATAGAGATAATATGATGTAAATATTATATTTAAAGCCATATTTCTTCTGTTTTCTTAAATACATTATGTGTTTTTAAAGCTTCATAAATAAAACCAAAAAATAATTATTCACATATATTTATTTGAAATATGGAACAACGTGACTAAATAAATATAAAAATATAGAGGATTGTATTGTTTCAATACCAATTAGTTAATTATATGCACTTTTAACGTAAATTAGTTAAGGTATAAGCATGACTTACAGTAATTTGTAAATAAACACACGCATTCGCAAACTTCAAGGACAGAAAACGGACACAGGAACATGAAAACGGGAGCCTTATACAAAAACCTGAAAACAGAAAAACAATTTTTTTATACAAAAATTAACAATGTAAAAATATCAATAGGTATAAAATATAAATAAACTGTTTAAAAAAAGCGTCCATTATTCCCAAAGAACCTGGCTTATAAATCAAAAAGATGCAAAAAGAGACTTTTAGTCGGATAACATAATCAGATTATCAGTCCGATTTATTGCTTTATTGACAATAAATCGCACATACTGGAGATAACTAATGTTGGCTATAGTTAAAAATGATCTTACCTTGCTGTAAATTGTTTCCATTTTCAAAAAAATCGCCGATCAAAGAGATTATAACACCATTTTCTTGCATCTAAAAAATGTAAAAACAGTGTTTATTTACTACCTATTTTTGATATACATGGGACATACCTACTACTGCAGAAACGTCATTTTCTCCAGGATTCTTCATGTAATTTATATTTTATATACTTTATTACCTTTATATTTATAAATTTCAGCCGAAATATTAATTTTCCCGTTCATTAATTACATGAAAACTACGTTAATAAACTATGTATTGATATTATGAATAATTTTCATTTGTATGAGGTGTAAGATAATATGATGTAAATATTATATTTAAAGCCATATTTCTTCTGTTTTCTTAAATACATTATGTGTTTTTAAAGCTTCAACTTATTATAACTTCACCTCAAACCTTTGATATTTGAAAGTTACATACATAGGTTACATAAACTACACCCTCTACATAAACTACATTAACTACATGTAATGTGGTTTATGTAGTTTTTAAAAGTAACATGTAGTTTTCCGAACCCTGCTTGTATCTTTGGAATTTATATTTATTAGCCTGGCAGTCCTGGCACCACAGAACATTTACCTAATATTTAGGGACTTTATTTTAATTTGGTTTTGATAGGCAACTTAAAATCAATTTATTTTACGTGTAAAAAATGTTTTAAACGCAGATGTTTCTGGAAATTAAATGTCTTCATCATAAGTTTTTTATTATTTTTTTATTTGTTTGCGATTTCTATGTCTTTTTAAGTACATTTATCGCTGCCTATAAAAATTTAAAGAAACACCCAGCCTTTTTCTCCAGTATCGATCAATGGATTACAATGGATTTGAAATTTTAGCCGTCATGTGTCAACTGTCAACATGCAATATGTCATTTGTCATTAGCAATAGTAAGGTTAAGAGCAAGTTAAGAGAGAAATTCACAATTTTTCATCTCATATACTAGGTATCTTTTATAAATATTCCCTTTAATAATTTATGGCCTCAATTTAGGCACATTAAAATATTACTTCTTGTATACACATACTCTCATTTAAAAAAAACATACAATCTTCTGTTTCCAGAGTCATTGAAAGTGGTATTCAAAAGTTTAATATATAGATAATTAATGTCCCAAGTTAATATGTTTATATATTCTATAAGATGTGAACTTTTAAAATCCACTTCTATTATAAGTTTACTAAGGCGTTGTTCTTCGCTTACAAGCAATGCTAGAAACCTTGAGGTTCCTGAATATGATACTAAGATCTTAAAAGTTGGAATTATAGGCGTTCCTAATGCAGGAAAAAGTACATTAATTAATAATTTAGTGAACAGAATGGTGAGGTAGGTTTATTGTAAGCCGAATAAGGCATACTATTTTGAAAGGTTTGTAGGTTTGTCCGTCATCAAGTAAAGCGCACACAACAAGATCGAAGTCAATGGCAATATATACTGAACGCGACACTCAAGTTGTATTTCTTGATACGCCAGGATTAGTTAGTGAAAAGGAACAGAATCGGTTAGTTACAATTTCACTATCAACAAAATACCTATATAAACTCATACTTCTCCTTGTAGATACAATCTTGAAAACTCATTTAAAAGAGACACGAAAAAAGCATTAAAAGATGCAGATATGATAGGTGTTATTCATGATGTGTCCAATATAAGTAGAAGAGAAAGACTGGACCTAAAAATTATAAAATTGCTCGAATTTCATAAAGAAAAACCTAGTTTTCTAATTTTTAATAAGGTAAGTCTGGTCTAACAAATTTAAAATATGACAATTAAGAATAATTAAAAACTGCACGTAATTTATAAACTAGTTTTTCAGATTGCTATGATATTTATTTTAGAAATAAATTTAAGGTAGACATATTAAAATCAAAACGGAAGTTATTGGACTTGACCAGAATTATAACAAATAATTGTATAAGAGGGAAGCCTATACCAGGTCAAATAAAGTCAAAACATTTATCTTCAACAGATAAAATGAGAGGTTGGCCTAATTTTGAGGAAATATTCATGGTTTCAGCTTTAACAGGTATTGATGATTGTCTTTTTGTATGGGAGACACTGGATTATCTCTGTCAAACAATATGGCTTTGTAAAATTAAAAAGAATACTTAATTTAGAAAAATATAGCTATAAAATATGAAACTTGATACATTTTCTATCAAGATGTTATTTATTTTTAAGAAGTAATACTTATTAAGCAATCACCACTGTTTCCTATTGTTTTAAAACTGTGAAATTACATGAAAATTACCCATGGATATATATTTAAGGTGATGGATTAGCTGAAGTCAAAAAACATTTGATAGCGAATGCAAAATTAGGTAAATGGATGTTTCGTGAGGAAATTTGGACAGATCAAAGTGCTGAAAATATTATTGTAACATCAGTACGTGCCAAATTATTGGACTTTTTACCTCAAGAGATTCCTTACGGTTTACAAACAGAAATTGAATATTTTGATGTAAATGATGAAGGTAATAAATTTTATTTGAATTTAATCAGTAACTTTTATAAATAATATACTTTCTTTAGGGATTATTAATACTGTTGTCCTTGTAAAATGCCCATCAGCTAGAAAAGCAAAATTGATAGCGGGTGTTTCAGATGGGAAACTGAAACAGATAACTCAAAGTGTACAGGATGATCTTCAAAATGCTTTTCAATGTATTGTTACCATAAAAATAGTGTTGTATCCTCCTTATAATGAATAAAATGTACTTATTTTTTTAACATGATTTTGTTCTTTAATAATAAGACAGATTATTATATATGTATAATAAGTAGGGACTCTGATAGGGATGTCTTTATTTTAATGTAAGGTAAAGATAATAATATGTACTTCTTTAATGTGGTAGATTTGCGTCCTTACGTTACAAAGGATAGTAACTATGGATAGTAATATCTTATTTGCAAATACGTTTAAAATAAAGTATACGGAGGGTACCGCTTAAATTCCTGTCCCGATATTGAAGGATGGCTATAGAATTTCAATGCATTTCCTACATAAGTCTATCCTTGGTTTGTAGGAGGTTTGACTAAACAAGGATGAACCTATGTCTTGAACATTCGACTCGATTTTCTGTCATCCTTCAATACTGGGACGTAAATCCTCTCATTGCTCTTATGGGGAGGCCGTCGTATATTTTATTTAAACGTATTTGCTTATTTGGAACTTTTTTTCGGCCTCATGTTGCAAAGAATATTAATCTCTTATTTGGAACTTGAATCATATAAAAGTCAAGTTATTTTTTCTATTTTCTTTATGAATTGAAATGAGACATGTATGTATGTATTGTGTTTTTAATGACAGTAAAGCTCACGACGTTTTAAATAAGGCGCCAAAACTAACCTAACCGCTGTTTGCCGACTTTGCCGCCATTTGCTTTGCTATATTTGCCGTCGTTGCTGATTGTTTTGCCTGGTTTTTGCTGTGTTGCTGTGTGTAGTTTACAATTAACAATTTTCAACAAACAAGCACAAAATAGAAATCAACTCAATTTCTATTTTGTGAAACAAGTATATAATTTTGGGTTACCCAATTTTGGTGGATTTTCTTTAGCTCTCTGCTTTGATTTATTTCTACTAAACAAGATATTCAATTACTATTAACATGCCTAAAAAATCAAAGAAGGAAGACACCTCTGATTCTTCATCTGATTCAGGCCCAGAGGATGTAAGTACATATTTATTTTGTTGAACCGATAAACTATTTTATTACTGATACTACACCTACGTCCATTAGTGGGCCTGCCTAATTTTTTTCTTGTATTTTTTTTACCTTGTTTTCTTTAGTAAGATTGTTTCAATCCTTCATTTTATTTTTATAATGTATTGATAAATAATATTGCTTCGATATTTTGAAGTAGAACTTAAATATAACTCTATTTTAGAGGGAGCCAGTGAAAAAGAAGGTGAAGAGTGATGGTTCATTGCGTACTGACGCCAAGGAACCTACATGGGATTTAGGGAATAAAAAATTTGTCAAAATTTCGGAATTTAAAGGTAAAGTTTACGTAAATATTCGTGAGTTTTACAATGCCGATGGGGATCTGAAGCCTGGCAAGAAGGGTATAATGTTAACTGGAGAACAATGGCAACGCTTTAAAGCATCCGTCGATGAGGTCGATGAAGAATTCAAGAAGGCTTGTTAAATTTCATAAATATTATTATGTAATGTTTTATTTTTTTTGTAAAGTATAAAAATAATTAAGGTGTTTTGTATGTTAAGAATTTCTAGGAATTAACTTAAATTATTTACTTTGATAACTGTTATCATTTAAAATGATTCAAATAAATAGTTGATAATGCATTTTTAATTTTAATATGAAGTAATCTGTTTAAGATTATCACCTTTATAAACAAACTGGAAGCATTTGATAGTCTTTATTAAGTAATTTAAAAAGGATTTTCTAAATATGATATGATTGAGAAAAAACGGCGTCAGAGATGGCTATGAAATAAAGATCGTTGTCATTTTTATGTCTAATTATAAGGAGAATGGCATCGATGTTCATTTACAAGCCAACTGGACGCCGTTTTTTTCCATCATACAGTATAATCATAATTATTGATTTTAAAATAAGGGTTATTAGATGTAAGCAATCTGATTACTATTTATTGTAATCTTTGTATTTTGTAAGAGTCGTTATTTTTTTAAAAAGAAGTTATTTGATATATCTGGTTGCCTAATCATAAATTAACACAATGGGGGTGGTTCAAGGAGTGGTTTTACATTGAGTTTTACACTATGACCACAGCATATTTATAATGCCGTGCTATGACTAAAGAATAAATAGATTTACAATTTTACTAGAATATACTCATTAGCGTAACTACAGAAATCTTGAATTTTATGACTCTTGTCTACGTATTAATTTTTATTTGCTGCTGATGTAGTAAAAATGACGTTTTCTAGTTTTGTTTAGTTAATATTATTTTGTTTTGTTCAAAAAACGTGTTAATTTTTTTTAGAAAATTTGTAGGTATTTAAGTAATCTACGGGAACACGGTTTGATAACCAAGTCTATGAAATTCATTGATAGAGAAATTCATGTAAAACGTTTTACGTTTTATTAAAAAAATGTATTTTTTAAAATTATTTCTCATTTTTAAAAAAACAAAGGTCCTAGGCCCCCCCTGGACTCAAACCCAGGCCACCCCCAGGCCCACCCCAGGATAAATTGCTAGTTACAATATACTATTTTACTTTACTAATACGCAAATATCGAAAAATAAGATAAGTTAAATAAAAATCTAATCTAATATAAGTTCATAGATTATTGATTGGATCGGTGCCTTATTTTACCGTTTAAACATGGTTTAAACCAAGAACAGTTAACCTAATAGTGCTGCTCATTCAGCCAAAAGTGTCCGCCAGGTGCATGCGAAAACTACTCGCATTGTGACGTCATTGTAGTCCTCGTCATGGTTATTGTGGTTATTAGTCCTTATCCGGCAACCAATAATACACACACGTGCATTATTGGTTGCCGAATGCAAAACGTTCATTATTTAGTTTATTTATTTAAACACCTTATATGTATGCAGTATAGAAAATTAACTGTATAAATCGTATTAAATACTCGGATAATGCATTTTTAAGAACAGCAGTTCGCAGCATCACCTTTTGCAAGCATTCTTTTTAGAGTACTTCCATATTTTGCTTTAAAATAATTAATAACCAAAATCGTGGGCACTTAGTAAGCAGTTTGTCACAATCCACAACACAAAATGAACGTATTTATACACTCTATAGCTCTAAAAACTTTAAAGACACCTTTTTCACATTTAAAATTGACAAAATAATTAACTCAAAATTTCTCAGCTGTTATTTTTATAAGGGTGTGGATCCGGTGGCTGACCTTGAAACTAGTTTTTGCTGCATATAGTCACAGACACTACGCATGCGCACATCTTCGATGTTGCCAGATTGCAAGTTATTTTGGAATTATTTTCAGTAGAAAACAAATATGTGCTTTTCAGTGTTCTTTTGTCAATATATACCGTATGATCGAAAAAACGGCGTCCAGTTGGCTGGGAAATGACGATTGAGGACATTTCCCATATAAAATGACAGCGATCTTCATTTCATAGTCATCGCTGACGCCATTTTTTTTCAATCATAGTACGCGGTATATTATTTATATTATTATTTTAATATTTCGCACAACACGTGAACGCTTATTATGTATTTTCATAGTCAATAAAATTAAATAGAAATAAAACTCTAGATTCCTATAATTAATCTAATTGCTCTAGAATATTATGCTACGTTTAAAAAAAGGGCTTTATTAAAAATTCGGGAAATTAAAAGGGATGTGTCCAAGTTTTTTCTTTTTTTTTAATTTTTAAATGCAATAGCTCCATGTCATGTTCATAATAGTTTTTTTAACATTCCATCAACGCTACGGAGACCTTAAAAGGCCTTTTAGCCTCCGTAATTAAAATTGTAGAATGAGCTTCAGCAACATTAACAGTTACCTTGTTTAATTCTGCTTATACATATATTGCATTATTTTTTCTGCTACCTTAAGATTTCTCTATTCTTACACCTACAGGGTCCGGCAATAGTGTGTCGGGCATCTGTAGCTCCTAGAATAAGAAACTTGAGTATTCTGTTTAAGTGCAAACCTAAAGTATGTATAAGGATGTATTTCCGGAAAATATTTTAACTTCTATAGGGTGGCTCAAAAAAATGTGAGTGGATTGGGATGATTTTTTTGAAATGGAACACCAATATTATTGCATTTTTGGCTTCCTTTCATATCACTTTACATAATCCTAAGATATGAGTATTATGAGTATCTATTTCGATAGTTTCAGAGATATTAAAAAATAAATCAAAAATATATATTTTTCAACCCTTCTTAAAAAAAATATGAAAAATACAAGAACTGTTCTGAAATCAAAACTATATTAGATATTTACTTTAGATGGTCCGTTCTTACTTTGCTATAAATATGGTAATCGTAAATCATACAGGATGTTCAATATTTTACGCCAAACTTTCAAAAATATAAAATAAATTTTCTTCGTTTTTTTAAATGGAACACCCTGTATATTATTTTTTATTTAATGGAGAATTAAAGAATGAACATTTTTTGTATTTAAAGTATATCAAAATTTTTAATAGTTTTCCGGATACACGCAGTATTATTTCATATGGCGCTTTCAATGGTAAAATACGAGAGAACAATCATTAGGTGGCTTTGATAAAATTTACTGTGGAAAATGCCATATGAAATACAAAACCGGGAATATCTGCGAAACCGTTGAAAATTTTGAAATACTCTAAATGCAAAAAGTGTTCATTTTTTAATTCTCCATCTATTGAAAAAATAATATACAGGGTGTTCCGTTTAAAAAAACAAAGAAAAATTATTTTATATTTTAGAAAGTTTGGCGTAGAATTTTGAACATCCTGTAAGATTTACGATTTCCATATTTATAGCAAAGCAAGTACAGACCCTCTAAAGTAAATATCTAATATAGTTTTGATTTTAGGACAGTTCTTGTATTATTAATATTTTTTTAAGAAAGGCTGAAAAATATATAATTTTTATTTACTTATTAATATCTCTGAAATTATTGAAATATATTGACTCATGTCTTAGGATTATACAAAGTGATCTGAAAGGAAGCCAAAAATGCAATAATATACAGGATGTTCCATTTAAAAAAATCATCCCGATCCACTCACACTTTTTTGAGCCACCCTATAGAAATTAAAATATTTTCCTAAAATACATCCTAGTACATACGTTAGGTTTGCACTTAAACAAAATTCTCAAGTTTTTTATTTTAGGAGCTACAGATGCCCGACGCACTATTGCCGGACCCTGTATATGTGATTTATAAACCATATTTTTCCTAATGGAAGGATGGAATAGGATATGCAAAATTAAGATATTTTAACATTTATTTTCCAGACAAAGCATAATATAGTATTAAGATTAAGACATAACAAATATTATAAGAAAGATCTTAATATAAATCACAAACTAACTAAGTCTTAATTTGGTCTTGTATAAACACAGGTATAAAACTAATAAGATCAAAACTCAACCTTCACCATATTGTCAAGATTTGGCATTATAGGAAACAAGAAATTACAGTAAATTAAGAAAAGAATATCAAAGTACACGATATTAAATACTGTAATGTATTCTACGACACAAACCATCTCCCTTCTAAAGAGAAAAAGATAAAACATAAAGCTTATTTTTGTCTTATCACCACACTCTTCGATAAAATATATGTCTAAAATTGCTATTAATCCACTAACTTGATATTTTTAAGAAATTATGATACAAACATTATAATTAAAGTATATTATATTAGTAACATTATAGGTAAAATGTTACCTCTATCTCCCATTCACCTGTATTTTTCTATAAGACTCGTCATGGTAGTACTTCAATACATCAATACATATAATCAAAACTATTGTTGCCTGTAAATAACTAGAAATTAAATGACTTTAAAGAAATAAAATAATTCTCAGAAGTTTAAAACCATTAAGAAAAAATCCGTAAATGATATAATTTTTAATTCTAATGTAAATATATAAATAAATGTTATTATTATTACAATTTTATATATTCAATTTTATATATCATTCCTTAATTTTGGATATGAAGATAAATCTGAAATTATAAAATTAATTATAGAATTTGTATTATTATTGATTAACACTCAAAAAAAAAATTTCAACTACAAATAATTCGAAAATAAACTGCAATTTGGCAACATCGACGATGTGCGCTTGCGTAGTATCGATGATCAAATGCAGCAAATATGGGCATCAAGGTCAGCCACCGGATCCACACCTTTACCTTTATAAGTTTACCACAGGCAACTAATAATACACACTATCATGACAAGGCCAACAAGGCTTTGACAAGGACTGCAATGACGTCACAACTGTCAGCTGAAGCGCGGGAAGAGGTGAACGTACGTCTTATGAGGATGAGGATACATTAAAATACGCAACCAACCGTCCAATCAGATGAAAGAGGTACGTACCCTATCGTTGGGTATTGTGCAATCACGTGATGCTCATGTCGTATGACGGTTAAATCTTTGGTTAGAATTTTTGTTGTTGTTTTTACCTGTTTTTACAGTTTTTACTTTATTTTTCTATTCACATCAGATTTATATTTTGTAATTGCCTATCAGACAATACGTATTTAGAAAAATAATAAGAATTAGGATCGTGTTTTTTTTTAAATCCTGGATATTAATTGGAACCCTTGATAACATTACTGCTTTTGATATAAAAAGTGCATTTTTGATTATTTACTTGGGCTAGGATATTAAAATATCGGTTGGATTGTACGACATAAATAGATGTAGGTATGATTATTTATATATATGTATGTATTTATAAAGCTTACTATCTGATTTGCATTTTCAGTTTTTGATCAGATATTTCATTTTATTTGTGAAATGCCCACAAAAAAGCTTCCAATGATTCAACATCAGTGTGTTTGCTGCATAATGGATCATTCCTGCTGAATTTTTAGATCATTTGAAGACTACACGGAAAAAACCAGATAATATGTTACATTTTCATAGAAATTGATAGCGAGACAATTTTATAGGCAAGTGCATTATTCGAGGCACCATCAAAGAAAGCAATAATAATATGCTTAGTCCCAGAGATATTACAGCTTAGTTATTTTGCCCTACAGGAGAAAAACCAGAGTAGTTCACTCGTAATTGCATTTTCTCGGCTCCAGTTAAAATGAACAAAGCTGGTTTTTCCTGTGGTCTTCATTTGAAATAACGTAAATAAATGTTTATACATATGTATGTGATGATTAAATTGGTGTTAAGGAATAAAAATGTTTTTCGATATTAATATATACCTATATATGTATATTTATTTTGAAATAAATTACACTTTTAACAGTTTAATGGAGTTTTTAAAGCCAGTTATAATATTTATATTTTAAAAACTTGAAATCATGTGGATGTAATCACGCATTAAACCACAGACTAACTTATATAAGTCAAAAAGTAGATTTTAGTGTTAACTTTATATAACTTGTAAGTAAAATAATAAATAAAACAAATATGAAAAAACCAACAATTCTAATGTATATATTAAAATACAGTACAATAATAGGTATCTGATACCCTCACTTAACGTAGAATAATATTCTACCCAACTCAATACTATGTCCAACATGAGTTTCAAATATATCGGGCCCTAATCGTTCCTGAAAATAATATTTTTTTACATTGTTATACCATATTCTAAACTATTTAATATTTCAGTCACTTAAAAAGTTAATTTGTATTGAATAATTGTCTACCATTAAAGCAAATTTGGACTAGTATTTTTAATGGGCATATTCTGTGTATGGATATAGGTACTTCCTCCAGATTTTGGGTTCAACCAATTTATTCTTAAAACCTGAAACATCTACGTATAAAAAATAGACAGGTTACTAATTATAATAAAATTTACCCTTAGAATTATACTTCTTTAACAAATAATTTCCATTGGTATACTTTTCCATGACAAGTAATCAACTTCCTAACATTTTTTAATTGATGTAATACTTCCTCATGATGCGAAAAGAAAATCTTTTCTTTAGCACACAAAGGACAAACGATATGTTGGCTTACTTTCAGATTAGTTACTTTTCCATAGATATCCTCATGTCAATTCAAAGACGATGAACATGAAAATGATCATCAATGAAACATCACAAACTAAAAACCTAATAAACAAGTTTATATCGAATATAGAAATAAATTTAGTGTTCTTACCTATTGTCGTCCAAATCCACGTTAATAGATAATTAATCTTTTTGGATTTTTATCTTTTATTTTTAAATATATCTTTCGAACTACTGGTTTTAGTAATTATTAAATTAAACGAACTAAAAAGTCAAAAATAATAAACAATTCTCTTGTCAATTGTCAATTTTCTCCAGGCACCGAACATTATCGATAACGCACGATCTACGACGATTACTCCTTTGATCTGATTGGACGGTTCAATGACGGTTGGTTGCGTATTTTAATGTATCCTATGAGGATGAGCAATCCTATTAGTTTACCGTTCTTGGGTTTAAACCATAGATAAAGCTGATTTAAACCTACTGGAAATTAGGTACACGATATAAAACATAAATATTGACGAATAATATTATAGTATTCACGTAGTAAGTACAGATCAATTTTGCCTTCCAACCACTCTGTATAAGTTGATTACCCCATACATACATGTTCTGCGGTATGAGACTTTGTGGCGTTATATATGTTACGGCCAAAATGGATAGGTATTTGGCTAGTTTTCAAACTAGCCAGCTATTTTACAAACAAACAACACAATAACACAACCACCACAGCAAACTAAAACCTAACCAACAAAATAACAAATAACAGCGCTTTTTGCAAAATCTGGCTAAATAAAAACACTAAATCACCACAATACACCAAAACACTTTTACTTTTACACTGGACGCGCGTTTCGCTAACCATGTTAGCATCATCAGCAGATGATTATAAACTGAGTTAGTTTATAATCATCTGCTGATGATGCTAACATGGTTAGCGAAACGCGCGTCCAGTGTAAAAGTAAAAGTGTTTTGGTGTATTGTGGTGATTTAGTGTTTTTATTTTGCTGTTTAACACCAAAGGTTCCAACCCTCAACTGTAATATTTAAATTCTGGCTAGTTTGAAAACTAGCCAAGTATCCATTTTAGCCGTAACATATATAGTTTTCTTATATTTCTTGACTCTTTGCCTTGACCCGTATTTGGTAAAAGTATCTTTATTTTGTCAATATAAGTTGAACCACGCACTTCATTAAAAATTCGTTGCAGTACTCCTAGAGGGTGCCTGGTATGACGGAGAGGGTAGTTCCATCCGGCATCGTTATACGTCTTGGTGCAATTCCCTGGCCACGACTTGATTAAGGTTTTCAGAGCTTCAGCATTTGCCATAAAATAGCGAGCAATTTGTTACAAAACCATATAAATTATACCTATATCACTGTAATTACAAAACTTCAATTTATTTCTGTATTGTCAAGGAATTTTACATTATGTCTGTATTTTCGAGAAAATTTAAAAACTTCAATCTATTTCCGTATTTTAACAGAATTTTACGTTAATTCTTTATTTTCGGGGAAATTTAGTCCAAATATAAGAAATATTTTGGGGGATGTTTGACCATATCAAAATCTTAAAAATTAAGAAGTTGTCTAAAAATGCGCTACAATACGGATTTAGTATATATAATCCTTTATCTTTAATTTCCTTCTACATTTGTGTAAAAATACCTTGCCAGTTTTACATAAAACGTTAAATGCCGAACGCTTATTTTGCTACTTTTTCGGATTAGTAAAATGGACGGTTAAGGGACTAAACGATAATATCAGTCAAATTAAATATCTTATTACGAATTTCATCAATGTCTATAGCTACGACTTGACTTATTACTTTCAAGCAAATCCTTCTGATAAACTATTTCTGTACAAATGTCTCTGAATTAGAATTAGAATTTAGAATAAGTGGGAGGGGGGTTAATCTCTGCGACCTTAGAGATCTATTGTGTCCCCCTTTCTTGAGTTATAACTCATCATACAGTCCCAGGACTTCCTACGGAGACCCGTATCCCTCACGAGGAGCTACGACCCAGGCCGGGTAGACGAAACGGTAGCTTGTGTCGCCTGTTGGGTTTAGAGGTAGGAGGTAGGCTCCCGACCCTTGGAGGAGGTGGTAGCTTGTATGCCACTTGCGGAGGATGGTCTCACGCAAGTGTCAGCCACCTCTCATGTAGTTCTCTTTGGGTTTGGCCCCTTGGAACTTTCATTGTTACTGTTCCCAGTGTCGCTAGGGGTTTCCCACAGCTTCACCGGTGATGTTTTTATTACTATTATTACCAGATCTCATAGTGTTCCTATGAGTCGCTAGGGACAGTCGGTCCACTTCTACAGAGCCCCGCATGTAGAAGTAAGGGGTAAAATACAATGGGGTGCTCCCCGGTGCCCCAAGGTTGAGGCTGTCCGTAGCCCCGCCCGGTATCGTTATACAGGGTCCGGCAATAGTGCGTCGGGCATCTGTAGCTCCTAGAATAAAAAACTTGGGAATTTTGTTTAAGTGAAAACCTAAAGTATGTATGAGGATGTATTTCGGGAAAATATTTTAACTTCTATAGGGTGGCTCAAAAAAGTGTGAGTGGATCGGGATGATTTTTTTTAAATGGAACACCCTCTATATTATTGCATTTTTGGCTTTCTTTCAGATCACTTTACATAATCCTAAGATATGAGTAAATCTATTTCGATAGTTTCAGAGATATTAAAAAAAATAAAATATTTTTCAATCCTTCTTAAAAAAATATATTAAAAATACAAGAACTGTTCTGAACTCAAAACTATATTAGATATTTACTTTAGATGGTCTGTACTTACTTTGCTATAAATATGGATATCGTAAATCATACAGGATATTTAAAATTCTACGCCAAACTTTCTAAAATATAAAATAATTTTTCTTTGTTTTTTTAAATGGAATACCCTGTATATTATTTTTTCAATAGACGGAAAATTAAAAAATGAACATTTTTTGCATTTAGAGTATTTCAAAATTTTTAACGGTTTTGCAGATATTCCAAATTTTGTATCATATGAGCATTTTCCACAGTAAATTTTTATCAAAGCCACCCAATGATTTTTCCCTCGTATTTTACCATTGAAAGCGCCATATGAAATAATACTGCGTGTATCCGGAAAAGTATTAAAAATTTTATAATACTTTAAATACAAAAAATGTTCATTTTTTAATTCTCCATCAAATAAAAAAATAATATACAGGGTGTTCCATTTAAAAAAACGAAGAAAAGTTATTTTATATTTTTGAAAGTTTGGCGTAAAATATTGAACATCCTGTGTGATTTACGATTACCATATTTATAACAAAGTAAGAACAGACTATCTAAAGTAAATATCTAATATAGTTTTGAGTTCAGAACAGTTCTTGTATTTTATTTTAATATTTTTTTAAGAAGGATTGAAAAATATTTTATTTTTTTTAATATCTCTAAACTATCGAAATAGATTTACTCATATCTTAGGAGATTATGTAAAGTGATCTGAAAGAAAGCCAAAAATGCAATAATATAGAGGGTGTTCCATTTAAAAAAAATCATCCCGATCCACTCACACTTTTTTGAGCCACCCTATAGAAGTTAAAATATTTTCCCGAAATACATCCTCATACATACTTTAGGTTTTCACTTAAACAAAATTCCCAAGTTTTTTATTCTAGGAGCTACAGATGCCCGACGCACTATTGCCGGACCCTGTATGTCTTGGTGCAATTCCCTGGCCACGACACTACAGTCAGAGACAAGACGATGAGTGAGATGCTTCTTAGACCAAGCCAAGTGCTAGGGGGGATTCCCCCCAGCACCTGACCAGGAGCTTCCCCACCAACGATAAGGTCTTGCATCTCCTAGGAGAAGAAATGTCTCTGATATATGCAGGGCCGTTCCTGGCGAGCGTGCAGTGCGTGCACGCACGTAGGTGCAACATTTTGGGGGCGCAAGATCGAAGTGTCAATCAGTACTTTGTAACAAAAAACCGATACGCTTTCTTGTTAATAAACAAATACTTAAACATACATCATAGGATAAAGTTTGCTTAGCGTCGTTTTTGCGTTGGCCACACCGAAAAAATAAGTCTAGAGCAATCTGCCGGCAACACAATGATCTCATCTATTTATTTTTCATTTTATTCATTTTATGGAAAGCAGTGTTCATTAAAATGTTGTATCCTATGTTATAGGGCTTGTTTCTCTCTACATTTCCTGTCTCACAATATACCGTTTGTGTCGAGGAAGGGATCACAGTTTCATAGTTGTCGATTTTACAGAAATCAGTGCATGCATATATTATTTCGTATATTTTTTATTTTATTGATTTTTTGGAAAGCACTGTACATTAAAATGTTGTATTTTATGTTATAGGGCTTGTTTCTCTCTACAATTTCCTGTCTCACAATATACCGTTTGTGTCGGGGAAGGGATCATAGTTTCATAGTTGTCGATTTTCGAAATAAATCAGTACATGTATATTATTTCGTATATTTTTCATTTTATTGATTTTATGGAAAGCACTGTTCATTAAAATGTTGTATCCTATGATATAGGGCTTGTTTTTCTCTACAATTTCCTGTCTCACAATGTACCGTTTGTGTCCGGGAAGGGTTCATAGTTTCATAGTTGTCTATTTTCGAAAGAAATCAGTACATGTATATTATTTCGTATATTTTTCATTTCATTGATTTTATGGAAAGCACTGTTCATTAAAATGTTGTATCCTATGTTATAGGGCTTGTTTCTCTCTACAATTTTCTGTCTCACAATGTACCGTTTGTGTCCGGGAAGGGTTCATAGTTTCATAGTTGTCGATTTTCGAAAGAAATCAGTACATGTATATTATTTTGTATATTTTTCATTTTATTGATTTTATGGAAAACACTGTTCATTAAAGTGTTGTATCCTATGTTATAGGGCTTGTTTCTCTCTACAATTTCCTGTCTCACAATGTACCGTTTGTGTCCGGGAAGGGTTCATAGTTTCATAGTTGTTGATTTTCGAAAGAAATCAGTACATGTATATTATTTCGTATATTTTTCATTTTATTGATTTTATGGAAAGCACTGTTCATTAAAATGTTCTATCCTATGTTATAGGGCTTGTGTCGCTCTACAATTTCCTGTCTCACAATGTACCGTTTGTGTCGGGGACGGGATCATAGTTTCATAGTTGTCGATTTTCGAAAGAAATCAGTACATG